TCAGCATACCGGCAGGCGCCAGAGCGTAGATGAATAACACACACGGTGCAGACGTGCGTTCACGTGGGTCGGGCGAGAGCTTGAGTGGATCGTTGCGAGCAGCCGGTTCGGGCCGCGACCGGTTAGCCGGCTTCTCCGATGCACCACGAGCCCTGTCCGAGGAGCCACGAACCAGCGATCCTGTTCTGACGTGGTCGGGCGGCGATGCGATGCAGGCCAGACCTCTTGGCTGACGGCACCATCGCCACCACCGCCACTGCAGCTCCTGCTGCTGCTGCTCGAACAGCCGTGGAGCAGGCCGGACACGCGTCCAGCGAAGCCAACGGGCCAGGCCGCGACCCGAACCGCTGGCCATGCAGCGCAGGTCTAGCGCTGCGACTCGAACCGCTGGCCATGCGGTGCAGGTCTAGCGCCGCGACTCGAACCGCTGGCCATGCAGCACATGTCTGGCGCTGCGACTCGAACCGCTGGCCCTGCGGCGCAGGTCTAGCGCCGCGACTCGAACCGCTGGCCATGCGGCGCAGGTCTAGCGCCACGACTTGAACTGCCGGCCGTGCGGGTCCAGGTTCGCAACCCGACCCGAACCTTCACTGCGCTGCCCCCATCCGGTCAGCCCCCAGAGGACTGATGACCCCGGCCAGACCAGATGGACCCCAGTCAGGTATCATATTCTTATGAAAACAAATCTGCAAGTTAGGACGTCCACTGTACAGGATATCTGAACGAATATCGTACCTCGAATCGGCGCCATAGAAATACAGTCCGGGATGAAGTCTGTTGATCCAAATCTGTTGTCTAAATCTGTTGATTAGCTCCAGTTGATCTGATGAATCGACTCGGTTCAGTCTCGGTTCAGTCGGATCTTTTTTGTCGGAAGCGGGTCCGACCCAAAGTTGCGTGGGGCTGTTCAGACCCAGGGTCGGAATCGACTCCATGCACGGTGATTCGGAGCCGGAATCACTCCCAATGAGGCGGAATCAGGCACAAGGCTGTCGGCGACACCCTGTGCGTCAAGGCGATGGCAAAAGTGCCCGTGGGGTGTGCTGGAGACCAATCTGCGAACAAGCCCAGCCCAACCAGCTGACATGCCTGCAGCACTCACGAACGCTGCCCGTCCGCGGCCAGCGTTCAGCGACGGCACAGTTGACAGCGGTAGCCAAAACCCCGCAGAGCAACACATCCACGGTCAGAGCAAGTTTGTATTCCGCATTACCGTCATCGCGACAGTGCGCCCGGCACGCATCGCGTGCGCGCGCGCTTCACATACGCACTCTCAACACAGGCACCAACAAGCACATACAGGGCATATCGCATGAGGAATGATTGGCTGCCGGGCCGGCGGCGGGTCGGGTCGCCCACGGGTCAGACGTTAGTAGTGCGCGGCTGGCGCGTTACGCAACGCCGGCCGGCCGCCGGTCGCCCACGATGCGCGGCCGGCCGGCAAGCTGCTGATTATTAAAGCACGTGCGCGCGGCTGGCGAATACTGGGCGTCCTCGGCGCCGTTTGGCACGGCGTGGCGGCGGCGGCGGCAGTAGCCGTGCCACTCCGGCCGGCGGAGCGGGCGGCGGCGGCGGCGGCGGCGCAATAGCGCGGCGGCAGCGCGGCGGCGCGCGGCGGCGGCGGCGCGGGCGGCGACTGCGCAGCCCCTCGCGACGGCCGAGGGGGGCGAGCCCCGCCCGGCCGGCCGTTGGCACTAACATCACGGGCGGCGGCGCCTAGCCGGGCGGCTGCATGCGCTGCTGCATCATGTTGAGCAGGTCCGAGCACTGCTGCATCATCTGCGCCATGACCGGGTTGGTCGCCTGGCCGCCCATCAGCTCGGGAAGGCTGCCCCCGCCAGCCGCCTTCGAGAGCGGCAGCGGCGGCGGTGGCGGCGGCGGCAGCAGCGCGGAACCCATTAGCGGCCGCAGCGTGGCCAGGGACTGGCCGACGCCGGAGCGTAGCAGGCGCGGAAGGTCGGCCGCCGACTCGGGCCGCTCGTCGGTCAGCCGACGCGCCAGCTGCAGCACGTGGTCGGCGCTCCGCTGCAGCGACGACAGCGCCGCCTCGCACACTTCCCGAGTCACTGAGGATGGAGGGCGGTGCTGTCAGTACGGACGGGCCACGGCGCCGGCACCAGCGCTGGCTGCAGGGGTCCCCTGCTCAGCAGGGGGGGGGGGGGCACACAGCACACGTGATCGGCACAGCAGGTGTCGGCGGCGTCGCACCAGGTCACGACGCTATCGGGGCGACGTGGCGGCACGGACCGCGCCGCCCCCGCACTAGTCCAGGGTCGCCCCGAGCACCAGCAGCAGGGATCACGCCCGTCCCGTCCCGTCCCGTCCCGTCCCGTCCGTCCCGTCCCGTCCCGTCCCGTCCCGTCCCGTCCCGTCCCGTCCCGTCCCGTCCCGTCCCGTCCCGTCCGTCCCGCCCCGCCCGTCCCCGCCCCGCCCCGTCCCGTCCCGTCCCGTCCCGTCCCGTCCCGTCCCGTCCCGTCCCGTCCCGTCCCGTCCCGTCCCGTCCCGCGCCCAGCACAAAGCATCACAGCCGCCGGTCAAACGGCACCTACGCCGCAGCCGACAAACTGCTGCACCATCGGCGACTGCTAAACCCCGTGAAGGTTCACGTCACGGTCAACGCCGTGCCGATTCACAGTTCAGGCCTCGTCGAGCCTGGACCAATCGACCGGACGCCGCCGTTCGGGCGGGTCCCGTCTTGCAGCGCCCATTAGCCGGGCGCGGCGCGCCGGCCGGCCCGTCCGTGGCGCGGGCGTGATTAGCCGGCGGCCGGCGCTTGCCGGGCCGTCACGCGGACGGGCCGTCACGCGACGGGCCGTCACGTGACGCGGACAGGCCGTGCCCTCGGTGGGCTGGCCGTCCGATAGCGGCGGAGCTCACGTCACACGCGCGAGCTCGCTCGGCAACGTGGTCGCGTGCCGTCCGCTGTCCGGACGGTCAGCAGGGCCGATTAGTCGAAGAAGAGCGCTTTGTGGTGAGTCGCCGGGGCCACGCGGCTGTCGCGAGAGCATGGCTACTGTGGTGTGGTGGCGCGTGCCACCGACAATCTCGGCCGGCGAGTGGGCGTCGGTGAGCGGGTGCCTGTCTGCGGGTGCTCGTGAGCGGGTGCCCGTCAGCGGGTGCCCTTCAGCGGGTGCTCGTGAGCGGGTACCATGAGCGGGCGCCCGTCGGCGCTGTGCTCGTGAGTGGGTGCTCGTGAGTAGGTGCTCGTGAGTGGGTGCCCGTGAGCGGGTGCCCTTCACCGGATGGCCGTGAGCATGTGCCCGTGAACGGGTGCCGGCAGGCGGGTGTCGGCGAGGGGCCGCCGGCGCATGCCGCTCCGTTTCGTCGGAGCACAGACGCCAGGTCCGCGCCAATCTCTCCCAGACAGATGTACCGAAAGTGAGGATAAACAAAAGTACTAACCAACAATACTGCGCTTCCATAATCGGTTTGCCTCATTAACGGAACGCTTAATACAATGTTGCAACAGCGGCGAGTTGGATGTGCACGCTGAATATTTGCAAGCACTGATGTTCTGATGCCAAGATCACCAAGCAAACCGAAAGGTAGGCCTCTGCACGCCGGCGGGGTGCCTGTGTCGATGACGGACATTGTTTGGCAGGATTTATGTCGGGTTGGTTCTAAGTGAGCCAATTTAGATCCACCTCAATGCATGCTCCTTTCGTTCGTCAACGGTCCTGAACAAGCTGACGCGTCCAAAGACGTGAGTTGGACATCGGCGATATCAATCATATGTTTCCTTAAAGAGGCATGAAGGCTCAGGTGATCAGTTTAAATCAATTTTGGTCCAAAAATGGGACGTTACAATACTCCATGGATATAGGGCATTGTTCACGCTAGAGGCGCAACTTTTCAATATGTCACCACACCGATTTCTGACCCGCAAGAACCTGCGCGTTTTTGGCTGAGCCAAACTTGGCGGGTTTTTGCGGGTTAAAAATTTGACCAGTCAGAAAACTGCATTTTTTGTTATTCTTTAAGTTATAAAATAATCCGAAAACCAGTGAGCGCAAAGCACAAAAAGTGGTGGAACAAAAGTATTTGCATTTTTACGGTAAGGGCCCCTGAGCCAAATAACCATGGCAGACATATCACACCAGTAAGCCAGGTTGCACGAAGTGAACGACAGTTCTAAGCCAGCGTTTCAGTAAAAATTCAAGAATAATAAACCAAATTTTCAAAACTAAGGCCTGATTTCATTGCGCAGCGCCCCTTTCCCGACTTGAAACTTCCAGCATTTTTCACTTTGGCAGTGCAAGCTATCAGCTGACGCATGCAATTTTAAATGAAATGGCTTGTGGTTCATTCCGATGACGTAGAATGGTCACATCTTTTGCACATTTTTGCGAAATGCAAATTTGAATTACGCCCTCTTCCTTTTCATCTGAAGCTTAAAACCGTCATTACGTCAGATGTCAGGATAGTCGACAACACATCTCCCCTTTCCCCCCCCCCCCCCCTTCCTCCTCCTCCACTGACTATGCCACAGTTGTCCAAGAAGTCACGGTGCGCGCCCTTCCACCCGCCGGGCACAACATAGACCATATAAGGAGCACGTCAACCACGCCAGCCTTCAAGACGTCAAGCGCAAAACCCGTCCAAACGACCACTGCGATGTCGGCTGGCACAGGCCGCTGCCGCGGGCCCAGCTCGGGCGCGCGCGCCCCGCTTGGGCCGCGGCCGCCGCCTGCGGGGCGGGAGGTGGGGGAGGGGGGGGGGGACACTCACGGGGCAGGGCGCCGACGTCAAGCTCCAGCTGGGTCGGGTCGCAGCGCGGCACGCCGTCCCAGTCCGTCTCCGGGCTCGACTCCCGGACGTCGTACCTGCGGCGGCCGCGGCGGGCGTCAGGCGCTGACAGGCTCCGGCCCGGCGGAGGCCCAGACCGGGCGCCGGTCTCGTGTGGGGCCGACACAGCTCCAGCCCGGTAGAGGCCCAGACCGGGCACCAGCCTCATGTGGGGCCCACACAGCTCCAGCCCGGCAGAGGCCCAGACCGGGCACCAGCCTCGTGTGGGGCCGACACAGAACATGCTCACGTCGGCCGCGGTGGCACGCAACACACACGAGCTAGACACGGCACACGCACAACATCCTACAGTCTGGTTAAACGGCGCACAACAGACTCTCCTGCCGGCAGTAGATGACAAACACGGCCCTGCACAGCACCACATAACAGACACGAGATCTGCACGGCACCACACAACAGACAACAGATCTGCGCAGCACCACACAATATATTTCAGATCTGCACAGCACCACATAACAGACACGAGATCTGCACGGCACCACACAACAGAAACCAAATCTGCGCAGCAACACACAACAGACACCAGATCTGCACAGCACCACATAACAGACACGAGATCTGCACGGCACCACACAACATAAACCAAATCTGCGCAGCACCACACAACAGACACCCGATCTGCACAGCACCACATAACAGACACGAGATCTGCACGGCACCACACAACCGAAACCAAATCTGCGCAGCACCACACAACAGACACCAGATCTGCACAGCACCACATAACAGACACGAGATCTGCACGGCACCACACAACAGAAACCAAATCTGCGCAGCACCACACAACAGACACCAGATCTGCGCAGCACCACACTACAGAAACTAGATCTGCGCAGCACCACACAACAGATTCCAGATCTGCACAGCACCACAAAATAGATACCAGATCTGCACAGCACCACACAACAGACACCAGATCTGCACAGCACCACACAACCGATTTCAGATCTGCACAGCACCACACAACAGACACCAGATCTGCACAGCACCACACAACCGATTTCAGATCTGCACAGCACCACACAACAGATTCCAGACCTGCACATCACTGACAGCCCTCGTCCGCCTCAGAGCGCCTAACAGGCCGTTCCGCCTGGCAGGACGCTCCGCCTAACAGGCCGTTCCGCCTAACAGGCCGCTCCGCCTGGCAGGCCGTTCCGCCTAATAGGCCGCTCTGCCTAGCAGGCCGCTCCGCCTAGCAGGCCGCTCCGCCTGGCAGGACGCTCCGCCTAGCAGGCCGCTCCGCCTAGCAGGCCGCTCCGCCTAGCAGGCCGCTCCGCCTGGCAGGACGCTCCGCCTAACAGGCCGCTCTGCCTAGCAGGCCGCTCCGTCTATCAGGCAGCTCCGCCAATCACGCCGCTCCGCCTGAACGCCGCGGCAACAACAGCTCAGGTGCGCGAGTCGATCATAGGGAGGGGTCTACTGCGCAGGGCTTTGCCGTACAGCAGCAGAGGATGCTGGAGGTTTTCGACCGACCGCTCAGGGCCACCAGCGATGCTTCCTTGGCTGTCGCGTCGACACAAGGGACGGAGGCGTTCCCAGACTCAAGCGAGCCACAGGTTGTGGGACGGGGAGGGGCTCGGTGGCAAACACCGCATCCCAGGTGCCAGAGCGCTTCGTGTTTAGGTGCAGCCGCGGTCCCAAATCCGTCCGCGCGTACGGAAAACGGTAGGGAGACGGCGGCGCTGAGCCGCCCTATCGCCTCAAGCCCCACTTTACCCAATTACGACCAGTTGTAATACATGCATAAGCGTGCGAAACATGGCGAGACGGCTGCAACTGAGACCGAGACGGTCACATTCCCTTTCATGGCCTCGCAGAACGCCTTCAGCATATACATCCAACAGACAGCAGTGAAAGTTATGTATCCGGGATAAAATGAGACGTCACCTCGGCACTGTGCACGGCTCATCCAAACCCTCCCGGTAACAAGCTCACACAACTATCGGGCACGTGGCGACAGGGCAGTTGCACTAACGATGAACGCGAGGACAGCAGGCAATCAAAACTCACAAACCAGGGTCGATGACACAATAGGCCAATTATAGTTACCTTATATAGATGCTGCCTTGTGCGTGAATCAAACACGTGATGGCAAAACGCACGCACCCACGATAAAAAAGAGGACGGCAGGCAACCTATCACCAGCAAACGAGGGCCGATGACGCACGAGGTCTTCTAACCAAGATCAGTGAGAGCGGCAGCATCCGGCCAGCTTTGCGCTGTGCGGACGTGACGGAGCAAACCATGCAGCAGGCGGGCTTCTCATGGATAGGCTTTAGGGCGGCTACACCTCCTATCGATTTCCGCCAGGGGCAATGACACAAGCTTACAGCTGGGAAAAACTAGCAAAAAAATGTACTGGAATCTTTCTTCAATGAGGGACGACGATGCAACTTGGTTCAATATCCTGCGTTGTACCTCAGCGATGCGATCCGACGCTGAGAGCATACGCCCGGTCACAACGTTCCCGCTCCCATCGCGCCCACACGACGACATCAGACCAGGTCACAGATTTTGCCGGCAAATTCATCCATTTCTTGTAATGCCACAACGCGACCGCCCCGCGCCAACCTCCTCGGCCCCATTTTGAAGGGACACGCAAGCGCCGTATCTGGGCGTGAGCCCACTTGTCTTTCACACGTACATGCACACGAACACGCACACGAACACACATGCGAACACGCACGCGTACACACATACGACCATGCACACGTACACACACACGAACACGCATACGTACACACATACGAACACGCACACGTACACACATACACACACGCAAACGCGCACGCGCAAGCACGCGCGCATGCATATTTCCGAGCGTCCCACCAACTGAGCTAAAGGGACGGCAGGATAGCCGAAGAGCCACACAAAAGAAGAAAACGCTTATTGCATTCCGGAGTGAAGGCTCTATCCCACTCCTCTACTTCTCTATGGCAACGCCTCTCGGTTCGCTTCCAGTGCAGTCTCATAAAAACGGACACCCAGCACACTAGAACTGCGCCGATGCTGATTCATGGAGAGCAATGTTTTGCACAATTGTTTCGCGCTAAAACGCGGATGAATAACAGCGCATTTGCAAAAAGGGAGCATTTTTTCGGTCATTTTGCAGCCGGCGCGAGCTGCGGGCGGCGAACAACCCCACGGTCCGCGCGCTGCACGCCAACACGTGTACATTAACAGAGTCACGCATCATACATGTATGCTCAAAACACATCAAACTTCACGCCACTGCACCCATAACTGAACAAGGAACACGTCTGTTAAGGTTTTGTGCCGCTACCAGGCATGGTCTCGTACATCCGAGCATTCTATTCTCAGGAGTTTGACCTTTGGCCTGGCATATTGCGGTCAGTTATTGACCTAGCAGCATACAACTTAGCACCACTCCCGAGATCTCGTTGAGACCAATCCGCTTTATTTGCGGCTCGGCGTCATCTTTCTTAAGTTGAAAACGGCAAAGGGCTGCATCGACCCCCTCCACCATTTGTCCACGTTATGGAAAACTGCGACTTGCGGCGAGGGTAAAATATGCATGACGCAAACGGCAAAATAGTCCTCTTCATTCCATAGCAAAATGCTGACGATACTTGGCAAAACTTGGTCCATTGCTGCTCTGCGCTTTACGACCTTTGCTTAACCTAACAGAAAAGCTTACAGGATAACAAGTAATCAGGGCGGATTTGCATGCAAGACATTTGACGAGGTACGAACTACACGCATACGCGTTGGGACCAGCCGTCTTGCCTCAAAGCTTGTGTAGGACGCACCTTACTAGTCAAAAACGGCCATCTATAGTACATTCGACCTTCTTAAGAAAATGCGGCACCTTTAAGGAGGACAAATACGTTTTAACGAAACGAGGGTAAGAGCGCACGATTAAAATATATCGAATTACCAATGCATACTCAACACTATAAGCACAACACGAACAAAACTGTTGGTGGAAGCACTACATGCGCTACGTCGTATCACCACTACCATACATCCGAAACTTTCCATCGCGCAACACTCCCCTCTCTTCCCCCCCCCCCCCCCCCCCCCCCCCCCGTGCAACGGGGATGGACCCGCCACGCGAGACAGACTGCACGCGCGGCGGCCAGAAGCGAGGCCCATCGGGCAGCCGGCGGTCAGAGCGCTCTCACCCCTTGAGCGTGACTGTGGAGCGCTTGGTGACGGTCTGCTGCCGGGTCTTGGTGACGGTGGCCGTCAGCCGGCTGGTGACGTCACGCGCCGCCTTGCCGAGGTCGCGGTCGGCGCTGGCCGGCCGGCCGCCGGCGCCCGCCTTCAGCCGGCTGCAACAGGCGGCGGCGGCGTCAGAGTCGAGGCCGGGGCCGTGGCGGCGGCGGCAGAGCCGAGGCCGGGGCCGTGGCGACGGCGGCAGCACACTGCAGCGACTCCGACACCCCAGTACGCTGCAGCGACTCCGAAGCCCCAGTACGCTGCAGCGACTCCGACACCCCAGTACGCTGCAGCGACTCCGACACCCCAGTACGCTGCAGCGACTCCGAAGCCCCAGTACGCTGCAGCGACTCCGAGACCCCAGTACGCTGCAGCGACTCCGAAGCCCCAGCACGCTGCAGCGACTCCGAGACCCCAGTACGCTGCAGCGACTCCGAGACCCCAGTACGCTGCAGCGACTCCGAAGCCCCAGTACGCTGCAGCGACTCCGAGACCCCAGTACGCTGCAGCGACTCCGAAGCCCCAGTACGCTGCAGCGACTCCGAGACCCCAGTACGCTGCAGCGACTCCGAGATCCCAGTACGCTGCAGCGACTCCGAGAGCCCAGTACGCTGCAGCGACTCCGAATCCCCAACACGCTGGAGCGACGGCGCACACAGCCGACGGCGCGCGCCCTGCCGGTCCCACTTACCTGACAGCTGAGCGCTCGTTGCTCAGTGAGCGGCCCTTGAAGAGCACCGTCTGGCTGTGCGACTCGGTCGGCGACAGCATGTCCTCCGAGCTGGAGTCGGCGTCCAGCGCGCGCATGTCGCCTGTCAGCGGAGGAGAGGACACTGAGAGGGCGGTACCACCGGCGACCCCCCCCTCCCCTCCCGTGGGGGCGGCGTCGAGAGTCGGCAACGAGACCCCATCCGCCGCCGTGTCACAGCCGACTGGATGAGCCGGATTCCGCGGTGTCATGCATTGGGATCAATTCATGAGGAAGGGTCTAGAAATTTGTTCGACGCAAGGTAGATATTTTGAATGTGTTCGCAATGGCATGAGGAGCACTCTCTTAGACAACAGTAGCGAATGCTCCATTCAAAAAGATATATGTATATGTGTATATATATTATATAGTGTATATGTGTGTGCATACATATATATTACATATATGTATGCGTGTAATATATATATATATATATATATATATATATATATATCATTCACGTGATGATCTCAATGTGGTGAAATTGACCGACATGATGCAATGCCCCGTGAGCGAAATGTGGATGCAATGCCGTCACGTGATGAACACTGAGCGGGGTATCTAGCGAAGGTATTGTCACGAAGTAGATAATTCACGTTTAAATGCACGGCATGTATAATCAATATGAAGCCCAGCGAGCGTAGCCTCTCGCCTTACCTTAACTGAAAACAAGCTCCAGTGCTACACATCCAGTTTGGCGGTTAACAAGCGTAATGCAAGTGTGCATGCACGTATGGTGTATGCGAATGTGCAGTCGTCTGCGTACGCCTGCGTGTGTGTGAATGAAACACATAAAAGCGAACTACTCAATGCGTGACATTGGCGGTCGGCATTTATGTCAATGAGACTAAAAGCTAGACAGATGGTGCGTGGCAACCTCAAAAAGTCCCCCTCACACCGTCGGCAGCGCTAACACCAGTGCTTAAAGGCAGACGTGAGTGTGAGCACGGAATGGCCAGGGCGCGGCCAGGTGGCGGCGTGGCACAGGGTCTGCTCGGGTCAACTCGGCCCAGCCCAGCCCAGCCCAGCCCAGCCCAGCCCAGCCCAGGTCGCGTCGGGTATGAGGTGTGACTGACCGACGCTGACGGCGCCAGACAGACTGCGTCGGTAGGAGGGTGCGGCCGCTGGCGACTTCTGCTTGTTGAGCGAGGCGATGGTGGGCCGCATCGGGCTGCCGATCGTCCGCGACGACCGGCTCAAACCGCTATCGCTGTCCGTCTGCCGGCCGGGTCATCGCGGGTCACCATGGGTCATCACGGGTCATCACTGGTCATCACGGCTCATCACGACACATGGTAAACCGGGATGGTCACACGTGCATCACCGCAAATCATCGCCGGTCGTCCGCCAAGCGTCATCGCGGGGAACATCTTAGGTCATCGCGTTTCCACGCAGGTCATTACTGGTCCCTTTAGGCCACCACAGGTCGTTAGGGTTACCCCCGGTCATTAACGGGACAAAATGAGCCTTCACGGGTCACAAACCCCGCAGGTCACCAGGGGTCATCATGGGTTACCAAGGCTCGATGCAGAGAACGGCTGTTTCATTTTCAAAACATATGCTGACGCGCGGACCAGTGACCGAATTACCCGCCTGGACCATGACCTGCGCAATCCGGCGGTGTGTACGGCGGCAGGACAGCGGTCCTCCGTACACCCAGGTGCGTCTCTCATCAATCATCATCAATGAGGTTCCTGCGGATGTCCGATGACTGAATTCAACAAGTTTTAAGTGTGCTGTCAGGTCGTTTTTTTGTGCGACAGAGCTGTATCATACTCTTTATGCATGCATGCGTTTGTGTTTTTTTCTCCCTTATCACTTTCCTCTTTTTGACGTCCTGTTTTATATCTCAGGCTAATGACACGTACTAGCCACGTATGTACGTGGAGTGTCAATTGATGTTAAACACAAATACAAATATACTCCTCGACGTCATGGGTTACCACGGCCCGGTGCAGGATACTATGCAACATCATGGATCGCTGAGGTTCATCGCAGGGAATTTCCAGCCTGTACGAAAGTCAGCCATGATGAGAGCAAACATCAACGGTAAAAAATTATTACTTCAATGTTGCCCAAAATGCACCTCTTGCAATGTTTTAACCTTGATCAATTAGGCCTGCTACCTCATGAAGCGTCAGAACAGAAAACGTTAACCACAACATGAAAACAGTTCAACGCCGAAATACCTCACAAAACCTCTTAGAATTCGAGCCATGAATGGACGTGTGTGTAGCATCCATAATTACCGCCTCTTCAGCTCGGGAAGGACAATGGTGGCGCGGCAATACAGCACGACGCATGTCTGCTCCGACGCGGCGCTACCGGGCGCATCGGCGGCGATGTCAACACGTAGGACGACATCACCACCCGCCGCGAGGGGGCGGCGCGTGACCCGCCCGCGCCAGAGGCCACTCCCAGACCCGCGCCTCCCGGCCGCCCGCATCGATAGCACGCCTGGATATGTCAACAGCTCGACTAACACCACCAACAGAGGCGTACGCCCATAGAAGTCACCCCCCCCCCTCGGGGCACGTTCCCCTCCCACTCGTCAACTTTACGACGTGTATAAAAAGCACGTGACTAAATGTTGGTAGTTCGAATTCCAGGTCGACGCGTAAAAATGACAAGATCGAGAGCATGCAATGTCGTTTTACATCACGCCAGATTTTACGCACGACTGTGGTGCGCTTAACTCGGGTTTCTGTGGTTATCATGTTTCTAGCTGCGATCCACTGCGAGATCCAGCCCACGTCCCCGGTCATTAATGTTAACGGTCCACGGTGCCTATCAGCGGCAGACGGTGACAGAGCCGTGCCGTCAGGCAGGAGCCCACGGCGTGGCGAGGAGCGCCGGCAGGCCGCTAATGAAGCCGTGTTTGATTTAGTAGGCGGTAGCTACTTCCCAAATGGATATCAGAGCGTGTGAAAAACATGGGTCGTTTGAGGGATTTAGCACCTTCGTGGCGTCATCCACAGAATCTGTTAGTAAAGGGATTTGCTAACGTATTAAAACACGCTAGAATGTTCAAAAGCTGGTGCCTAGGACTCCTCTGTTTCCTCGATAACGACTCTCACCTTCAAATCCATATTACAACCAGAAAAGACGCGTTCCAAAAACTACTGTTTCAAAACGCTAGCTTCTTCCTTTCAGCGACAATATCTCTTGGCATTACGATCCGGCTCTGCCTTTTTATAATGGCATTGCGATCCGGCTCTGCTTCTATATGACGACATTACGATTCGGCTCTGCCTCCCTATTATGGCGTTACAATCCGGCTCTGCCTCTCTATAATGGCATTACGATCCGGCTCTGCCTTTCTTTTTTGTCGTTCATTGGTGTTTTCGGGCGCGTCGACTGCAATGGTCATTTTGCGCCCATAACGATACTCTTACTTAGTATGTTGTGAAAATGACTTGAAAATCAATATATTTTAGGAACGAAAAGAGTTGTTTGGAACCAAGAAAGGAGGAGCTGTCCCCGAGCGCATCGCTAATCGTCAGGGGCGAAGCCTGCAGACCAAAGTGACGTCGTCGTTCTTCGATGAGGCAAGGACGTGATACAATGGCATGGGGGACAGAGGGAACGGCAACACACCGCTGCCATACGGGTCTGTCGGCTCCATGCAACAGATGGCCATGGGTGGCATACGTATGCCCAATACGCGACCTACATAAGCCACTTCTTCCCACCGCACACTGCGAGAGCATGACGTTTTTATGGGCCTGAGCTTATTGCCGCCCACCTGGTCCCAACAGCGCTGCAATTTGCTTCTCAGGAAGGTCTTGACTGCCGGGGAGAAACCTCTGGCAGGGATAGACAAAAACCGGGTATATGGTGCCACCGCTGCTCGCTTAGCAGCGGCATCGGCCAACTCGTTGCCCACGATACCGACGTGGCTGGGGATCCAGCACAGGGCAACTCTCTTTCCAACCCGATTCAACTGTCAGGCGTGATAAAAAGTCCTGTATAGGGGAGCATGATGGATAAAAAGACTTCAGTGCAGAGGGACTGCTCAGTGAATCAGTAAAAATGGCGTGTGACGATTCTTCACCCACTTCTATGAAACATATCGCCTTGGTAATCGCAATTAATTCCGCTGTGAAAACTGACGAGTGGGCCGGTAACGAGAACAATCGAGCGACGGAACCGCCGACGAAAGCACAACCCACGCCATCCGAGGTTTTGGGTCCGTCCGCGTACGTCAGAGTGCATCCTTCATAACACGCCAGAAGCTCAAGTGCCCTGGATGATCTCATTAGGTGTGGTGTTACGTCTTTTTTTCTAATTTTCGTCAGCGAGGTGTCAGTGAAGGGTATGGTCACTTGCCAAGGAGAAGCCAGGCGGTTTACTTGCTTTACACCTGGAAGAGGAATTCCGCCCTCGAGCAATAAGGCTCTCATTCGGAAACCAAAAGTCAAAGCGTGCTGCTGCGGCCCATGACGAAGGGAACTCACGGCAAACCGAGAACATACTGCAGAACATGTCGGATGAAGTCGGAACTGCCGCAGCTTCAAGGCATAACGTATGCCGAGCATTTTCCACCTCGTCCAGAGTGGTGGCTCGTGTGCCTCCGTTCAAAGGCTGACGGAAGGTGGTGTGCGGAACGCCCAAGCAACAATACGAATGGCAGTATGGTGGACGGTATCAAGAACACGCTCGCTGGATTCAGACCCGCCATCATACACAACGCATGCATAATCCAGTTTGGAGCGGACGAGTGAACGATATAAAAACATAAGCGTGCTTCTGTCTGCCTCATATGATGTGCGAGACACACACTTTAATACGCTGAGATTTAAAGCAGCGATCGCGTAACATTTTTAGATGTGATTTAGATTTCATATGTAAGGCGGCGGTCAAAGTGTATCCCAGGGTACCTGGCCACGGCCTTATTTTGAATAGAGCGACCGTATAGACGGATGCTCAGGCCGTCACATCGCTGGCGACGACAAAAAATGCATCGCAACGGTCTTGTCGCCTGAAAAACGAAAACCCGTTCATGTCACCCCATCTTTCGAGGCGGTCCACAGCCAACTGGAGACGTCGCTCCATCGCTGGTGCCCTCGCTGCACTGGTCCAAACAACAAAATCGTCAACAAAAAGGGCACGTCCGACCGACTGGGGGAGCACATTACAAATATCATTTATGATAACATTTAGTTTAATTCACCATTTATCATTTATCTGCCTCTATATAATGGCATTACGATCCAGCTCTGCCTTTCTATAATGACATTACGATCCGGCCCTGCCACTCCGCTGCATTATGCGCGGGACGGTGATGTGTTTCTTGCCATGCGCCAATTACCACGAGTAGCTCTTTAATATCAATTATCAAGCTCAGCAATACTGCAAAAGAAGGGTACTTGTCACCTGATGACACTCTCGGTAATGTTTGCAGTAGGACAGTTGGCCAACCAAAATGTCCCTGCACTTTTGTCCATCCAACGTCCATCTACAACATACAACGCACATTACTTTACACAAAACCCGCTGCCACAAAAGATCTGGTGAGACCTGCCATGGAAAAATCCTTCCGTATATCGATGAAAGCAAACTCAAAATTGTATCCCTTCACGGCAAGCAACCCCTCTCATACACAGTCTGTTTATATCAAATAATTTTGTCGTCGTTCTTCTGCGCAGGTCTATACATGCTTACCGTTACTCTAAGCTTAATCAATAATACTTCACAAAGACAGTCCACCAAACAGCTTGTTTTTATGGAATTTAAATTTGTTGCCGCGGGACGACGATTATTTGAAAACAAATCTTCTCATTTCCAATAAACGCGGAGCGAAGAACATGCAGTGAGCTTTGCAATGTTTAGTTAAGTTGATATCATTGGAGCGCATGGTAGGCAGTGCCGCTATACTCGAGGCTACCACTATCAGTGCTGCCGTATTAGAGGTTACGCTACCAGCGCTGCCTTCGCCGTTGACGAGCCGGGCTCCGTAATGCACGCGCGTGGACGTAGGATTTCCACAATAGCCTTGCTTGAACTCGGATATCTAGGTCATTCGGATGATGATCTCACCTTTTATCTATTGCAACCTCGACGCACTAGTCACACAGGCGCAGCTTTCTCAACATCAAAGGCGATATGTCTTAGACGTGTTGCGCATGAAACGGAACATTTCGCTGACATTGCGCAGGTCCTGTGGAAGGAGCGGGAGGCACGCCGCTTCTCATCTCTGACGACTGCAGCATCGACGCTAAGGCGTTAGGTGGAAAGAAATGTAGCTCAAATTGCCTCCCCCCCCCCCCCGTCTTTCCAGAAAACCCATCCGGACTGACTAAAGGGAAGTGGACCTGACATCATACGAAGTCCCAACAGGTACGTCTTTGCCCATGGCCGCAACATGAATAATGTATGTGGACAGGTCGTTTGCAACATTTTCTTTATTTCCGATCGTCAGCTTCGTCTTTCTTAATCCGCATGAGATTTTTGGAACACATCATTGGAATAGTACTCCCATTCTCCGCATAAAATGCATCGAAACAGCTCCGACACTAAATCATGCACTGATGTAGATCCACCTGATTCAGCCGAACACGCTAGCGGATGCAGACGAACCGTGCTCACCAAAACGAATGAACAGATTCAGACGTGCCTGATCCAGCAATTACGCAGATTCAAACGCCAATCCGAAAGCACTGGGATCACCACGTTAAAGTAATCAGCCTTGCCTGTTGCAGCGGGTGAACGGATTCAGACGTACCTGGTGCAGCGGGTGAGCGGATTCAGACGTACCTGGTGCAGCGGGTGAACGGATTCAGACGTACCTGGTGCAGCAGGTGAACGGATTCAGACGTACCTCGTGCAACAGGTGAACGGATTCAGACGAACCTGGTGCAACAGGTGAACGGATTCAGACGTACCTGGTGCAGTAGGTGAACGGATTCAGACGTACCTGGTGCAGCGGGTGAACAGATTCAGACGTACCTGGTGCAGCAGGTTCATGGAGGAGCTGCGTGCCATGGCCGAGCTGGGGCGCGGCTGCTTCTTGGAGGGCGCCTTTTTGCCGGACACTGGAAGCGCGCAGTGTGTGGTCAGCGCGCGCGTCAGTCACCAGGGCATCTTACGACAGATCGGCCAGTGCCCCACAGCTTCAGCTCCCATGCATCGGTGAATCCCTGCCCGCAGGTTTATCTGATGATATGCGTGCAATTGCGCACGTTGAAGCTCGATCAAAACAACGGTGACGGCGGTGAGGCCTGTGCTTTTAAGACATGCCACCCTGCATAGATATATCTGGTAAATGTATCTCGCACGAAACTAATCGGACTGGTAGAAGAAAATGCGTCCATGGACTCGCATGACGTCAATGAGTCGTCTACACCCAAAGCTGTCATCTTGAGATCTTGTGGACGTAGATCTCGTGCTTACCATGACACGGGAGCAGCAGAAAATAAATTCATAATCGCTTCCATTAAAATTCATAAGTTGCCTTCAAATCGCAACGAAACCACGAATAGTTGATTCGAGAATTGGGCTTTTCAAACCCTACCTGTGGCCTACATTTTGGACGTTTCACCCACAGTCGACTGAAAACGACAAAACTTGGCCTTCACTCCTCAGATTTTGTTAGCACCAAGATGTGCAATGTTTGGCCATATAAAAACCACAGCTAATGATTTACAGTTTTGCACAATTTACGAGGTGACAAACTGTATGGTTGTTTTCTGGCATGCGCTTTGTACATAAAAAAATCCCTCACAGAGAAGCTCAGCGCAGTTTTACACTGCATCTTACTCGACCATTCCGAGCGCTTTCATGCCGACACAGACCACCGAACAAACCATGAAACGCGGCCCGAGAAGAGCGAGGAGTCTTGAGCGGAGCTCCGCTCGCTCAAGGCTCCGCGTGCCGCGCGCCTACCGCCACCGCGGCCGGCCCGGGTCGGACAGGCTGCGGGCGCCGGGCGTCACCAGCGACGCCTCGCGGGCGTGAGGCCGGCCCCTTGAGACGATCCATTAGACTCTTTGGGATCGCGTGTCGGTGGCTTAAAGCTAAAGCTAAACCTTGTCTCGCGTCCGGGACCCACACAAGGCTTCTTCTGGAAGGTGCAGATTTGTGATACAATAACGGGCGTCTGGCAGCGAAGCGTGTCCCAAAATAACGTGACATCGGTGAAGGCGGCCGCGTAATGGCCATAGGCCGGCGCATCCCCGCCCAGATTTTGTTCATTCTATTCTCGCCGCAGGGGGCAGACTCCGTCGGGAAATGGGGACCCTGTAGTGACGTCACCACGGCCGAGCCGCCAGGCCAAAAAACACGCCAACAAACCCGGACGAGCCCGGGACACCCACGACAGCTGTCGAGCCACCTCGTGGACGGTTGTTGACCAAACAAAATACTAAACACAAAACAGCGGGCGACGAGTTCTCGTCCTTCGCTGTTTGGGACAAAGATGTAAGGTCTGACACGGGTCAAGCCGGCTTTCGCCGTTAGGTATCAACACTATAGCATCTACCAGAGCGTGTCTGATTGAACGCTAGGTTTCTGCATACCATCTACGGCTTTTCACATTGCCATTTCAGCTATTTGAAGATGTATGCCACTACATGAATCGCATTTTTGTGGAAAGAGTGCGGACTGTCCTTTCTGGATTCCTGGTAATTGGTCACCGCCGATTCATATCAACCGTCTGCATACGCGCACATACGTACGCATCCAGCACCGCATCTACGCGTACGTGTGCACGTATTGAGCACTGTATATACGCGATTGAGACCCTTTTATCTCTCAACGGAACTCCAGGATACGTGCTACGTACTCCAAGTAATTTCACGATGCATCCTTCAAAGTGGGCGACGGAAGAAAGTTAAAAGAAATGGCGATAGTAACTAGTTCAGTGTTTGGGCATTCCAAGCGAGGGAACTACCTCGCGCACTTTCGACGCGCCCACAACTGATGAATATCAAATAGTGGGCCTGGATACGTAACAGTGTACAATTGTCGTCGAAATCTATGCAGAGACTGCACGACATGCTGCCTCGAGACGGTAGCACGTATGTGTGCGCGCGCGTTTACTCTAATTCAGACTTCATTACGAATGTCAAAGACTCCGCAGGCAGCTTTGAGCCTACGTCAGTTCAGCGAAGTTCAAAGGCCGTGACCGCTTCGGTATCCGGTCGGCCGGCGGCTAGTTCGGAAAAGCTGATGAGGTTGAGTTTTTGCGCAAATCCGCTGGGGAGTCGACGCGTAGAGGCGTCGTAGTTGCAGCGTCGAAGCGGTGGAATGCTTCTGCAGTCCGAACGGCGACACTAAGCCCCTTCACGCTGTTGCAACCAAGTCGACGCTTAGTGCGAACGGAATCGCAGCAACATCTGTCGTCCCAGCCAGATCAACTGACCCATGGTCAGCACGCGATTCAGTGCGTGATGACCTCTCAGTAATCGCCGTTCGCAGCACCCCGGCGTCACAAGTTGACGCTCGGTCCAGGGTCAACCGCTTCGACCAAGATCCTCAGTCCCGCCAAGATCGACCCTCGTCAGGGGGCGCGAAAACGAGGGCCAAGATCGTGGGGGGGGGGGGGACGAGCTGCATCTCAGTCGACGCGCTTGGCGCGTCCTCGGCTCGGAGCCAGGCTCGAGCCCAACTCTGGTCTGTAACGCCAGGCGGCCCGGATGCGTGGGACCACACCAGCTCGCGCGCCAGGTGTCAGTCAGTCCGCTAGAAGTAAAATGACCCACACCTAAGGTCGCTGGTGATGGCTCGCATACTCGCGCAGCCAGCCGCGTTTGCCAGCGAGAGGCAGCTTCCAGACGCCGGCGAACGGCCCGTGGGCCCGCTCTTGTCACGCGGCGCGCGCGCTGTTTTGTCTGATGGAGTCCGCCGGCGAGCAGGCGTCCCGCGGCGCAGCATCATACGCAGCCGCTTGCTCCCGCCGTCAAGCGGCGGCCGATGCTCACATACGTGGCACTCGCAGGCGGTCCTCCCCTCTCCTCCCCTTTCCCCCACTTCGTCCACCAGTCAGGACACAATCACGGCTGCATCTAAGTATTTACGATTGGCTTTCATTCGGCAATCTACCATCTGCGATGCCCCCATGTGGCTTTGTCCCGCCCCTCAGGCAGACCTTTTGAAAATGCAAAGTTGACGATGACGCTCGGAGCTTAACTCTCTTGACCATGGGTTTCCAAAAGCGTCCGGGCCCTCCGTAAATCCTGGTCGGGCAAAGACTACGAGCTGTCACATCCAATCACACGTGAGGTCGCTTCAATTAAAGTCATAAGCCCCGGGACCCGGCTCCGAGGGCCGATTCCAGCTCCGTGACATCTCACGATCTATCCGCCAGCCACCGAAAGGGCCGTGTCTCAATCTCGCGAACCATAGCACTGCCACCACCGGATTTCACCGTTCCGATAAGACGGAGTATCGTGGTTGGTCGCACGACATGAAAGGTTAACATTAAGAGAAAATACATTCGCAGAAAAAGGCAATCACTAAAGAGCAAGGACAGAATGGAGCACACCATCAATGAAGAATAACAAAGAATTTCGTCATGTGTCCCAATTTAAAAAGTATAGTGCCGCAATATAGTGTAACGTCTTTTCATGACCGAACCTGCAGACTGGGCTCGTTATAACGTCAACCAACCGGACTTGGCACAGGTTCACCGAGCCCCAAGGACCTAAGCATCTGTTCCGTTTGGTAAAATATGCACCAGAACTCAACGTACGCATGCATGTATGTGCGTATGTGTCACCTAGTCCACCCCCTACGACCGAAAAAAGGTGATGTAGTTGCTTAAAAGTAGTCACAGGCCGTGACTACTTCTAGCAACGGTAAATGTGAAAGCCAATTCCACGGAGAAAAATCGCTGCGTTAACAACGAAGCACATTGTGCAGGACTTAAGGGAGTAAGCCATGCTGACTTACCATTCTGAGAATGGTAAACGACATAGGCGCGTATCGATGGCTGGCCACCAGGAGTCACCAGAACAGTCCGATACCCTTTACGCTTCTTTCAAAAATTATCTGAAATCACTTTGCAAGCACCGACTACGTTGGCATGTTGCCAAATCCTGAGTTGACATTTTTTTTATAAATTTGATCCGAACCCTTTTGAATGGATGGATTCCTGGGATCAGCGCTCACGCTAAGCAGTGCTTGTTGCGTGAGCTCTGACCCCCACCATCCGATCGGGCAATCCCATGCAACGGCAGAATTTAGTGGCGAAAGCTTAACGTGCCGCAATGCTCGGCACGGTCCGTCCTGCCCTCTGACGTCAACTGACCTTTAGCGCGACCGCTGCCACCGGCCGCAGGCCATACCTGTCAAGGGCAAATAGCGAGCGCCCTAAAGCGACTCGAACCCACCCAGCCACGGGTGGGTGGATCGGAAGGCAGACGCTCTAACCAACTGAGCCACCGGGACGGACAAACATCGACATCGACTGGAAAGTCTTGATGGAAAGGTCAGAGTCCCCACATAGCCAACAAACCTATTGCAACTCACGTCCGCACGAACAGTTCGAGCATAAACGTAAAGACGCAAAGGCTGCTGGGCGGATAATGCCCCACCTCCGACTTAAAGAGACAAAGGCGAGTCAATAACGGACAATGAGGCTAACACACCGGACCAGTCACTTCAGAGCTCATTGCCCAATGGGCGACAGCTCATTCATAGGTGAGGTCACATTACCGGCCATCACGCCGGGCCGATCGTTCTCACGGTGGACCGATCCGGGGTGGCATCGACGGCGAATGCAGCCTAAATACCCGCCACGGAAGCTTCCGGCCACCAGCCGGTCCGTCCACCAACCGTTCCAAGCCCGTCCCAGCGTCGGGACGGACGCGGTACGACCGGCCGCAGCGACGGCGGTCCGTCGGCGAGGGCTCCGGGGCCGCCGCGCCGCGTCAGCCGCGATCAGGGGCAGCCTGTGACGCGCCTGGGTCGCGGCCGTCACGCTAGCCAGCAATCGGCTCATGTGCTTTGAAGCCTGAGAAACGCACGGGGCGACGGGTTTCAATGCAGCCAATCTACTGAGCGGGCCCAGCGCTGTGTACTGCGAATACTAAGTAAAGCTGCACCCCATTCAGCTCGACAGCCGTAATGGCTTGCTGCGCAGGGGACCTCGAATAAGCATGCCCAATGGGGAATGCAAAATAATTGGTATTAAGTGATAACCGGAAGCAATGTATCCTCCGTGGGAGCGACTTCAAAAATCTTCCCTGAAGGTGGATTGTAAAATAATCATTGATCTTTACCGGCAACCATGGGCGCTGTTTGCATTGTGGAGGGGCCTGCAACAAAATGTCTACTGCAAAATGTAAAACAGCAAGAGGCATTTACCGGTACCAGGGAACAATCTATTCCCGTTCTCGGCATATTCCCCATCACAACGCATTACAACTGCGATCATGTAGCGGTGATATCTGGGCAGCCACCGCAAGATGCGCGACCGCAAACGTCGGCATGCTCTCTCGGAGCCAGACGCTACGACGACGTCAGCTGTCTGTACATCTTGCGGAGATCGCCGCAGCGCACCTGGAGCTGCTCGGACGGTTTCGGCGTGCCGCGCATGGCAGGATCTATTACGGATGCGATGCGACTACTGAGAACAGTCTCACGGACCAGAGACGCCAGCCGGGTCGGATCACGGGAAGCGTCAATTCAGACATATTAATTAAGCCGCCGTCTTCCGACCAGCACGCAAGAAAATAACTATCACAATGCACATCCACGCCCACTGAAAGCCAGCACAAGACGACAGAAAAAAAAAAACACTACGATCACCATGACATTCACCACGAGTGCGGCAGGGACGCAGTCGCGACCAGGAAGCAGTTGGGTCAGAGACCAACACCCAACTGAAGACTGCGTAGAGCATGGGCAACATCGAACGCCCGGGGACGGCATCTCTGGGGCTGAACGGCCGCTGATCCCTCCAACCGGCGCTGCTCGCCTCCGTTCCAGGAGGAGCAAGCCGGCCGGACACAGAGCGACAATGAGCGGCACCGACCGTCGGCCTGCCAGCCCGGCCGAAGGCAGCGCGCCGGAGCGGTGTGGGACGAGGCCGGGGTCGGCCGCGGCTAGTGGCGGGGAAGGGGCGGCTGCCCTGGGTAAGCGGCGGCGCTCCTCGCGACGGCTGCCTGGAACTAACTGGTATCGGTCGCCCGCCGACGGCTGCCTGGTACATGTGGCGCCCGCCCGACGACTGCCTGGTACTGCCGGGCCCGCCGAACGGCGGCCTTGGGTACTGTGGCGCCCGCACGACGGCCTGCCTGGGTACTGTGGGCTGCCCGGGCCGACGGCTGCCTTGTACTGGGCGGGCGCCCGCCGACGGGGCTGCCTGGGTACTGTGGCTGCCCGCCGAACGGCTGCCTGGGTACTCTGCGGCCGCCGCCCGACGGCTGCCTGGGTACTTGCGGCGCCCGTCCGACGGCTTGCCTGGTATCTAGGTGGCGCAGCTGCCGACGGCTGCCTGGGTACTGCGAGCGCCCGCCGACGGGTGCTGCCTGGGTACTGCGGGCGCCCGCCGAGGCGGCTGCCTGGGTACTGTACTGCGGCCCCGCCGAACGGATTGCCCGGGTACTAGGCGGCGCCCGCCGACCGGCTGCCTGGGTACTGCGGCGCCAGCCGACGGCTGCCGTGGGTACTGCGGCGCCCCGCCGACGGCTGCCTGGGTACTGTGGCGCCCGCCGACGGCTGCCTGGGTACTGCGGCGCCCGCCGACGACTGCCTGGGTACTGCGGCGGCCCGCCGACGGCTGCCTGGGTACTGCGGGCGCCCGCCGACGGCTGCCTGTGGTACTGCGGCGCCCGCCGACGGCTGCCTGGTACTGTGGCGCCCGCGACGGCTGCCTGGTTTACTGCGGCGCCCGCCGACGGCTGCCTGGGTTACTGCGGCGCCCGCCGACGGCTGCCTGGGTACTGCGGCGCCCGCCGACGGCTGCCTGGGTACTGCGGCGCCCGCCGACGGCTGCCTGGGTACTGCGGCGTCCGCCGACGACTGCCTGGGTACTGCGGCGCCTGCTGACGGCTGGTTCGGCACAGCACCCCACGGCCGGCATGGGACAGAGCCTGAGGACGGCTGGAACGGGATGGCTGCTGCGGGAGCCTGACGGGCTATCACCGAGGAGTGTCTGGCCGCTGATGTGGAGGAGGATCCGGCCACTGATACGGAAAAGGTTCTGACCACCGCTATACGAGGTTCTGACCCCTGATGTGGCGAGGCGTCTGACGGCCACCTATGTGCCGCAGCAGGCCTGACGCCGGGCACGGGACTCGTGCCCGCCCCACCAGACGTGACCTACCGGCGGGCGTGGCGGGCAGGACGCGGCGCGGCGTGTTGGCGTCTGTCAGGTCGCTGAGCGAGACGGCGCGGCGCAGGCCACCGCCCAGCTCCCGCTCCAGGTCGGATGAGTCGCCCGAAACCGTGCGTGCTGCAGCGTCCGCCGCCCATCAACGATCGTGCATCAGCCAGCACAGACGGACAGACGGGCAGGTGGACGGGCAGCCGGAAGGGCCGCCGGACGGGCAGGCAGACGGGCAGGCAGCCAGGCGGCCGGGCGGCCGGGCGGCCGGGCGGCCGGGCGGCCGGGCGGCCGGGCGGCCGGGCGGCCGGGCGGCCGGGCGACCGGGCGGCCGGGCGACCGCGCGGCCGGGCGACCGGGCGGCCGGGCAGCCGGGCAGCCGGGCAGCCGGGCAGACAGCCGGTCGCAGCATACCATACACACGTGACAGTCAACGAAATCAAAACGGATCAGAACGAATCAGAACGCATCCAACAGCCACATCAACGACGCTACGACGGAACTGAACGGCTCGCGGCCATGCCATGCCATGCGCCAGCTGAAAACGGCCGAGGCGGCCGACGGCGTGCCGGGGGCGTGAGCGCGGCCTGGCGGGCGGCGGACCTGGCCCGCGCGTCGGCGGCGCAGGCGTGCCCCGGTCGCGGTGCCTGCCCCCCGGCCCGCCCCGCGTCGCCCCACCCGCCGGCGACGGCGCCCGCCAGCGGCGGTCCCCGGCCAGGCCAGGCCACGCGGTGTGCAGCCAGCGCAGGCACACACAGGCAGACAGCCGAGCCGTAGTTACCGCCGCGCTGAAGCAGCTGCAGGTCGGCTGGGCGCCGGCGCACCGCGTCGGCCACCACCTCGGGCCGTGGGTCCGAGAGGTGGCGCTCGCGGAAGCGGTGCTCCTGACACGAGACGGCTGGGCGCTGCGGGATGCGCTTCTGACGTTCGATCATGTTCGGCACGTGGCTGTAGTCGGGCGCCGCGAACTCGCGCCGGTAGGTGGCGTAGCGGGCCGTCTTCTCGGGCGCGTCGGCGAACGCCGGCAGCAGGGAGCAGCTGACGGCCTGGCGCCAGCGCAGCCGGCGGCGGCGGCCGCGCGCCTCTTCCCGGTCCCGCGGCCGTCCGGGCGGCGCGCCGGCGGCCGACAGACCCAGCCGCTCCCGCAGGCCGGGCGTCGTGTCGCTCAAGTAGCCCGTCTCTCCGCCTTCGGCCAGGTCGATGCGGTGCCGCAGACTGTGCGCCCGCCGCAGCGGCAGCGGCAGCGGAGGCGGCCGCTGCGGCGCGGCTCCGGGCCGGCGGCCGGCGTCCTCCGGCTGCTGCAGCTGGCGGTCGAACGTGCGCAGCTGCTCGGTGAGCCCCACCAGCTGCTGCAGCTGCTCACCGTCCAGGCTGTCCTGCATGACGTGCGCGGCGTGGCGATGCGCCTCCTCTGGTGGCACCTCCGCCAGTCGCGCCGCTATCTCGTGCTCGGTCAGCGGCGGCCGGGCTGCCGGCGCCGGCGCGGGCCTCCGGCGCGCACCGCGCTCCTCCTCGCGCAGGCTGGCCAGTCGCTCCTGCTCGGCGCGCTCCTCGTCCGAGTTGAGACTGTCCTGGCTGAACTCGGCGCGCTCCGGCGAGCCGGCCGTCCCCTCCTCGCCCTCCCCCCTCCCGCTCCGAGTCAGTGACGTGGCTCTCGTCGGCGTCGCCGTCGTCGGCGGCGACCGGCGCGCCCTCGAACAGGGGCGGGTACAGCACCGACACCGGGTACACGGGGTACACGCGCTCGCCGCCGCACGCCAGGCCCGCGAACACGAACTCGAGGTCGCGCGCCACCTCCCAGCATAGCGCACCTGGCGACCGGGCGGAAGCGTGAGAGGTGAGGCGGCAGCTGGCGGCGGCTGAAAGGCGGTCTCCATCCGCCGACCGACGTTTGTTTGGCGCGGTCGGCGGTCAGACCTGGCGGCGTTGGTTGCCTGAGGCATTCACTGTACAGAAAAGCCGTCGCTGGCTCTTTTTTCGTTTCATTCATCGCCGTGTTTCATCACATACCACCAGCCAAACACAGGCACTGAAAGCAATCTTCTTGCTATACAGCCCCAGTCGCAGCCGTGTTAGTGGTTTGTGATAGCAATGGTATCCCTCTGAAAGAAAAACTTAGCCGGCGACGGCTTTTCTGTGTCAACAGCCTCTGAGCTATTTAAGACATGCGTGGAGCAGCAGCCCGCGCCCGGTGGCGTACCTGGCGCCCCATGCAGGTTAGTGGCTGGCGCCGCGTGTGCGGGTGTACCTCGGCGCCCGCGCTCGGCGACCGGCGCACTGGCGCCGCCCTGTGACAGGCCGCGGAAGCTCAGGTCGGCGATGCTCTGGCTCGACTTCAGGCCCGACTTGTGGCCGATCTGCAACAAAGCCAGAGCCTCGGCGTCGGCGCCGCCGGAGATGCCAAAGCCGGCTCTTGAAGTAATTGAGTCCCTATATCACGTTCAGCTCAGGTGACTGGCTACGAATAGCGACGTGATCAGGAGGCATATTAGGAAAGATCATGGCTATTGAGAAGAGTACCTAGGAGTCAGACCATCAAAGGAGCATTACATAACATTAGCGGAGATCAGTCAGAGCAGAACCTCATATTCTCTTTGCAAACACCTGTCATGGATGCGCCACACTGCGCCTGAGCAGTACACATTAACACACGGCGGAATCCTATCATTACGCTTTTATTCTATATCATATATCTTTCGTTCAGCCTGGTTTGTCCGTGGATTTCCTCGAGCCCCGGCAGCCTGCGAGACGTGGGGCGTGCATCGGCACACTCAGACTGCACTCCCTCCCGCACCCAGACGGGGGGGGGGGGGGGCAGCGGCAGACTAGGACTGCCCCCCCCCCCCCACCCACCCAGAGGGAGGGGGGGGGGGGCAGCGGCGCGAGGCGTCCAGAGGCGGCCCCAGCACCACCCACACCCCGGGCCCAGCGGCGGACTCAGCACTCGGCACTCACGCCCTGCAGTTTCCGCCGCGTCTCCTGGATGCGTCGCTGCAGCTCCTCGCGCTTTTTGAGGCTCTCCTGCGAGCGGGCGATGTTGGCTTGGTAGCTGCGGCCCAGGAACTTGCTGGAGATGCTGCGGCAGCGGCAACAGCGGGACGGCGGTCAGCGCTCGGAAGGAGAGACGGAGACAACGGACGGCGCTGACACGTCTGTCCGACGCAGGCCAGATAACGGACGGCACTGACACGCCAGTCCGGCGCGGGCCAGATAACGGACGGCACTGACGCGCCAGTCCGGCGCAGGCCAGATAACGGACGGCACTGACGCGCCAGTCCGGCGCGGGCCAGACAACGGAAGGCGCCGACACGCCAGTCCGACGCAGGCCAGACAACGGACGGCGTTGACACGCCAGTCCGGCGTAGGCCACATAATGGTCCCTGTCAACCTGTGGGCCTCACCGTGACACGATACCCTGCATCGCACATGATACCCTGCATGATACCCTGCATCGCATTTTGCTGGGACAGTGCCTTGTGGGTACGCGCTATTGTATCCTCCTCCCTGGGAGCCGACTGAAAGGTCCTCAGCTTCCAGAGATTTTCGGGGAGGGCGAGATTCTGGACAGCTACATCTCTTGGTTAGGACACGTGTCGCTCTTTTCATCCTGAGATGCTGATGTTTACCGGCTGTTTGTATAACCTAAGAATTGGATATCTGCCATTTGCGTGGCTGCACGTGTGCGACTCTGCCAGGTGACCACTGTGAATGGCATACATCTTGCGAAAGTCAACTCATGTTCCTGCATCGCCGTTCCAAAGTGCGCCAACACAAAACCCCAAGCGTGAACTCCACCTTCTCCATTATCGGTACAGACAAGACCGGTGAATCCCCTCTCACTGCGCAGAACGCCGCCCGCAGTCACTCACCTGTTCTTCCCGTTGGGTGACTCGCCAGTGCCTTCATTTGACTCGTCCCCTACGTCTAATGACTCGAAATTTTTGGCCAGGAACTGCTCGCGTTGGCCCACTTTGTCCAGGCTCTCCATGCTGCGGGGCAGTGTGGAGCATGACAGAACGGAACATATCCGCAGCTTCATCCCGGTGTCGCGGTTATCGTCTTGCGCCAAGTAAGGTTTCACAGATTTTTTTATTTTTTCTGTTTCCAGCAGGTGAATGGTTCCCTATGGCGACAATTGTACAGCATGGAACACAGCATTGGAACAAAAAGGGACATTTACCAGTCACACAGTTACATCGGAGCCACAATGTCGGCAGTGGCCGTCGGCTTGCCACCATTACAACAACTACGCTGCCAGTGTCTCAGCAATGCAGCTGTTCCTACAAAGGCACGTGTTCGCCTGCAACACACGACTGAATGACATGCATGATGCATAACTCAGATACAGAGTCTGCATGGACAAACATATGAGTTAATTATCAAAATTCGTCCACAGCACCACAGAAACCACAGCGAATACAGCAACTACTGCCTCACCAGCCGCTGCCGCGCCCTCTGGGGGGCACGAGCGGCCGTCGGTTTGTGTTCGGCGCGTCTCACCTGGCCGAGACGGCGAGGCCGCCGAGCCGCTGCTGGCCGTCTGTGTCGGCCGAGGGCGTGCTGACCTCCTCCTCCTCCTCCTCGTCCGTCTCCTCCTGCGTGGCCGTGCCGGCGTCGGACGAGGCGGCCACCAGCGGCGCCAGCGTCAGCTGCGCCGGCCGCTGCCGCCGCGAGCGCCGCACCGACCGGCGCAGCTCCTCCTGGTCCATGGCGTTCACCGTAAACGGGCTGCTGCGGGCACGGACGGCGGCGCGTCAGGCAGGCACGGACGGCGGCGCGTCAGACGGGCGCCGCGCCCGGCTCGCCGCGTTCGCCAGCCACTGATCACGACCGACGAGACGCACGACCGAGCTAGCTCTCGGTCTCGCAGTCCATCCCAGCATTCAGCGCCGCGGCAGTCCGGGATCATCGAGCTGACCCAGCCGACCGGTCCACCCCGTGCCGGCCGGCAGCGCGCGCTGCATGCCCCCCGGCGCTGCGGCCCCACCTGGCGGTGTCGTCGACGGTCGGCTGCGGGTAGTACATGGGCGCCTCGGTCGCCTCGTTCTCGGTCGACTCGGGCTCGCTGTAGTCGTCGATGTCGCCGTCGTGGTCGGTCGTGCCGTCCTGCGGGGCGGCGCAGACTCGTCACTCTCTGACCTGCACGAGGGCGGCCGGCAGCGCCGCCTCTGCGCTCCGGGGATCCCGCAGCACTGCTCTCGCGCGGGGGACGTGGAGGGGCGCGATGCTGACTGCGACAGTAAGGCTGGGGAGGATCGCAGGCGGAGGAAAGCGGGGCCGGCATACCACCGGAACTTCACTCGCACCCGACCTGCCGCGCAAGACCAGTGTTCACGTCCAGTCGGCAGCCCTTCCAAACTCTCGCATACGTCAACAGTTGACTCCGCCTACAAATTCCCACACACACACCCTACATCCCGCAACACCCGCAACTTGAACAAGTCTGGAGCCTGCCTGGAGCCGGGCTTGGCACTGGACACTAGAGACAGGACGGGACACGACGGGACACGACGGGACAGAACAGGAGAGGACAGGGCGGACCGGACAGGGCGGACCGGACAGGGCGGACCGGACAGCGCGGACCGGACAGCGTGAACCGGACCGCGCTGGGCCGGACTGGGCGAGGGGACGACGGGACGCGCGTGCGCCGCTCTGGGGTTGCTCACGTCGGGCCGGTAGCTGCCGAGGTCCGACGAGTCGTCCGTCAGCGGCCGGTTCCGAGCATCGATCAGCTCCGGCCTTCGCGAGCCGCGCGACAGCTGGCGACCGTGCGGGTCAAGGTCACCGGGGTCACACGACACAGGCCCGGGGGCCGCAGCAGATCACGGCAGCAAACACGACAGCTCACGGGGCCAGCGATCAGTCAGCGACACAGGCCACGCTCACGGCGCTGGCGGCATTTCACAGTCGGGCCCGGCCGCCGACGCCGGCGTGCGCGCCACGGCGTGACCCGTACACGGCTACCAGCCACCAGACGAGCGCGCCTCGAGCCGGCGCCAGAGCAGGCACCGGCGCTACAGCGGCCGCGCATTTCCCCCGGGAGTCCGGCGCTCGCCGCGGCCATCCAGCGGACCGGCGCGCGGCTCGGCACCGGCCACCGCGCGGCCCACCTTACCCGCTGGTTGTTGCGGTTGCCCAGTATCTCGCGCAGGCTCTGGGCGTTCGGGGCGAACCCGTTATCCTTGATGCGCTGAAAGCCAGGTCGCCACTGAAGCCGTGGCAGGTTGCACGAGGGCGGCGGTGCAGCGTCCGTACAGACAGCGGGCAGTGGGTGGACAGGCCAGAGTGCCGGTCAGGCACTATGTACAGGGGCGGCTCCGCAGGCTGGCGTGATCAGTGAACAGCGACGTCGGCAAGCATGAGAAGCACACATATACAGCGACGGACCCGCCTCGTCTCGACGGCCAAAGAATGCGACGCAGCCGGCAGACCGACGCAAAGCAGGCCCAATCGCACCGATCGTCCCACGAGACTGCTGACCAATCAATGCACGTGACGAAGCGGGGCTCGCATGAAGGTGGGACTCATCCGCTGCTCTGCGGCTCGTCGGCAGGCATGCCGGGGCCGCGGTGTCCCAGTCCGCCAGCCCGCCAACGTACCGGGCGGGAGAGCGGCTCCTTGCCGCCGATCGTGGCAGAGTCCTCCAGGGAACTGTCCTTGGAGCCCTCAGAGTCGGCCGGCCCGCCTCTCCGCCGGTCTGCGGCACCGGAGAACGCCCCGTCAGCCGACCGCAGGCCGCGCGCCCGGCCGGCGCTGAGAAGCCGGCAGCACGGGACAGCGTCGCTGCTGGCATAGCAGGCACAGCGCGGCACAGCTGTGCCGGCCGGCGCTGAGAAGCCGGCAGCACGGGACAGCGGCGCTGCTGGCATAGCAGGCACAGCGCGGCACAGCTGTGCCGGCCGGCGCTGAGACGCCGGCAGCACGGGACAGCGGTGCTGCTAGCACAGTAGACACAGCGAGGCACAGCTGTGCCGGCAGGCGCTGAGACGACGGCAGCACGGAATAGCGGCGCTGCTAGCACAGCAGGCACAGCGCGGCACAGCTGTGCCGGCCAGCCGCTTCATACAGTGCTGTACGAGACCAGGAAAGGGCGACACCACAGCTCACCCGACACACGGGACCACACTAGCATCACCGCCTCACCAGGGGCGTCTCCGGCCACGACCTCCTTCACTCAACCCGCAGGAGAGCTGGAGACCCACCGCTGGCGCCCGCCCCGGTGCCAGTGCGTCCCGCCGCCTCCCGCGGGGCATACCGCAGCCCCACGCCGGCGGCCGGCGGCGCGCGCACACACCCTGAGCCGGGAAGGGGATGACGCTGTCGCGGTCGTAGATGGACTTGACGGTCATGCCGGCCGAGTCGATGCGCTGCGCCCAGCGGCCCTTGGGGAAGTCGACGGTCCGCTCATTGGTGGGCGACGGCGACGTCTCGGTCACCTTCCGCTTGGCCCACTGAGGCAGCCCGCCGACGCTGAACCTGTCGGCAGGACGCGGGGCCGTCTGGCGACCTCTGCTCGCCTCTGCTGACCTCGACCTCGCCTGACCCGAGGGCCGACTTCGGACCACGCCAGGCGGAGGGGGCAGCGGATCACACTATGCTCAGCTCCAGTTAGACCTGGGGCATGATCTGGAGGAGCGACTTTACCAGGGCTGCTGAGAGGAACAGTCGTGTCACGCTCCCGGTGGCCGCCAAGTAACTACAAAAAATGGTGGCGCTGTTCGATTAGGAGGGCAAATTGGGAGGGGTGTTACAAACAGCTTATCACACCTTGCCGTCGATCTGTACGTGCACGCCCTGACACTGCAGCGCTCGTCAAAACCTCGCAAAGCGACGTAGCTGAACAGCAGCCAACTAGGCCATCTTTGTCTGTTTCCTCCGCTGCACACGCACCAAAAGGCCCAGCTTAGTCCCGCCAGCCACGCGCAAAGCACTTGCGCGGGTCCCACGCGTGTCACACGGGCCCTATCACACCGAGCGGGCCTCCTGCCCGCCCGGCCGAGCGGCCGGCGTCGGCCGCTCGGCCGCACCTGTAGTCCGGATCGTCGCGCTCGTTGGCGTTGCTGTCGTACAGGCCCTCCTCCGGACTGCCGGCGGCGTCCGTGTCGGCCGGCGGCGCCGAGAGCGTCTGGCGGCGCCGGCTGCGGCGCGCCTGCTGCTGCAGCCGCGCCTGCATCGTCTGCGCCATGTCGTGCGGCACGCGCCACACGAACACACACCCGTCTCCCGACACCGTGATCAGGTGCTTGCAGTCGTCCGTGAACCTGGCGGCGGCCGATCGGCGGGGTCAGCGGGGTCGGCAGAGTTCGGCGAGGTCGGCCGGGGCAGACGCGGTCAGTACAGGTCGTGGGAGGTCGGCAGGGACCGTCAGACATTGATAAGCGATAGTACAGGCCGGCAACAGACGGGGTAAGCGAAACAAAAATATGGGGCTCTGGCTTCACAAGGTCACCATGCGAAAAACGCGCAGCGTGAGTCAACGATCTCACAACTGTCCCTGCCCAGCCCGTGCGCGTACAGACACCTTACGTTAAGGCCGTCTTTGGGCAGTCGGGCGACGCCGAGGTCCCTTATACTGGTGCCAACGACATCCAAACCCCGATACTGACACCAGCAACGCCGATACGCAGAGGCCCACCGCGTCTGGTACCAGTGCCGCAGAGTCCCATCCGCGGCCGGTACCAGTGCCGCAGAGGCCCACCAGCGGCCGGTGCCAGTGACGCAGAGGCCCATCCGCGGCCGGGACCAGTGCCGCAGAGTCCCATCCGCGGCCGGTACCAGTGTCGCAGAGTCCCATCCGCGGCCGGTACCAGTGACGCAGAGGCCCACCAGCGGCCGGTACCAGTGAAGCAGAGGCCCACCAGCGGCCGGTGCCAGTGACGCAGAGGCCCACCAGCGAACGGTACCAGAGACACATAGGCCCACCCGCGGTTTGTACCAGTGACGCAGAGGCCCACGTCCGGCCGGTACCAGTGGCGCATGGGCCCACCTCCGGCCGGTACCAGTGGCGCATGGGCCCACCCGCGGCCGGTACCAGAGACGCCGAGACTGACCTGAGGCCGGTGACGAGCTCACTGTGGCCGAACATGGACGCCATGCAGTCGCCTGAGTAATAGTCGTACACGTACAGGGTCTTGTCCGTGCAGGACGTGGCCACGTAGATGCCCGACTGGTCCATCGACAGCTGACGGAACGGACGAGCGAGGTCTTCACCGAAGCGCCGGGACGCACGCAACACCGCTCAACAGACGGGCGTTCAGGCATCCGTTACAAACACATCCGCAGCGAACACCAATAGTCATCAGTCATCACAGACATCGGATATCGCAGATATAGTTATAGTAATAACAGATATCCCCTGGCAAATGGGCTGCACGAGCCGTGCACTTTTCCTCACGCAACCGAAGAATGCTCCTTAAATGGTTAGTCACGCTACAGACGGCCGGCACGTCCAAGCGAAGGCTCGCTGGAGACAGGCCGCATTCCACGGCGACTACGCGCCACTCGTCCATAACAGGCTATCCGCCACGAACGCTGCGCGGCTGCGCTCGGAGCGTGCGGCGGATCACATCGGACCCAGCCACTCATTCGTCGCCGACTGTCGGCGGCGCGCCTCTGACGCGACGGCACGCAGCGAGCCCCCCTGAACCGACCGCCACCGCCGGCGCCCGCGCCCCCACCTTGATGAGGGTGCCGTCGTCGGCGATGCTGCCCTTGAACGTCTTGCTGTGCTTGCCGTTGGCGACGTTGTAAACGCGGATGTTGCGGTCCTGGCAGGCGGTGAGGATGTGCCGTTGCGAGTGGTCCACCTCCATGTCGTACAGGGTCGTCTTGCCCACGACGTTGTGGCTCCGCGAGAACTGCAGCTGGCGCTCGGCGCTCTGCGGCGGCCGCCGGCGCAGCGCGTCAGGGTCGGCGCGTCAGGGTCAGATCGTCAGGGTCGGCGCGCCAGGGACGGCAACGGGCGCGTAAGGGTCAGGGCGTCAAGGGCAGGGCGTCAGGATCAGGGCGTCAGGGTCGGGGCTCAGGAACGGCACCAGGCGCGTCAGAGTCGGGGACGGCAACGGACGCATCAGGGTCAGGGCAGCATTGGGCACCGGTGGGATGGCTGGATGAGTCAGTGGGGCTGACGGGCAGCACACGCGCCTCACACTAAACAGGTGATCAAAATCAGATCCCCAGACTTGGGACACAGCGATCACGACCCCACCCGTAACAAGGGAGGGGCGCGGCCGCTGTGACCGCCCACCGGCCACCCCAGCAGTGGGCTAGGACAGTTGGTGCTGGCCTGGCACAACGGTCTCACCATCTAGTTCCGCCCCACTCATTGCAGCGCTCTCTCGCCAGACCCTGACGAACGTTCCACCCCAGTGGCAGGCTTCGGTGACAAGCGCCCCCCGAAGCGCCGGCACAGCGGGGCGAGGCCGGTGTCGGCGTCCCCGGCGGCGGCGCGCCCGCGAGACTCACCAGGCCCGCCTGCCGGAAGATGACGGACTTGTCGGCGCCGCAGCTGACCATGAAGAGGCGCTCCTGGTTCTGGAAGAAGCGCACGGCCGTGATCGACGAGCTGTGGTCGTCCAGCGTCTGCAGGAACTGGTACTCCTGAGGGCGAGAGCATGACGGCGGGCGTCAGACGTACGTACGGCACACAGCAGGCGTTACACAATGGAACTAGCACACCATGGCGCGGCTGCGCGCATGCGCTCTACCGAGAAACTGCAGGGGAGGGGGAGGAGAAAAGGGTTCGTACGGGACAGCCTTTCCGAGCCACATAAAAGCTACAAGCTAATACGCTTCATGAGCAGCATCAAGACTGCGGGTAATTGATTTCATTACCATTAGTCACCCTTCCATGAACATTGCACAGTGGGTTTCAAACCTGGATGACGATCACGACAATGCTAGTCATCACACGGCACCGTGACTGCGTGGCCATGCAATACGCATGGTTTTACATTTGAGTTGCGCCGGCCAGATCTTTTCTAGCAAGAGAGCACCTCCCAACCCCTAATGCAACTGTCACGGATCCACCGCGTCAAACCGGCAAAAACAACGCACCCGCCCACCGATAGATCCCCTTCCGACGCAAAATACCGGCGGCGACTCCGCCCAGTGGCAAAGCCCCTCTCCCGCCCCGCCCAGTGGCCAGGACTCCTCCCGTCCCCCTCCCCCTCCCGCCCAGTGGCAGGGACCCTCTCCCGCCCCGACCAGTGGCCAGGACCCCTCCCGTCCCCCCTACCCGCCCAGGGGCAGGGACCCTCTCCTGTCCCCGCCCAGCAGCAGGGCCCCCCCCCCCTCAGGGGTGGCGGGCCGGCCGCCGCACCTGGTCGGCGTTGAACAGGTGGATGAGCCGGTCGCGGGAGGCGGACGACAGCAGTCGCCAGCCAGACTCGGGCCGGCTGAACTCCAGGCAGAGCACTTCGGCGTCGTGTGCCTCGATCTTGCACAGCTCGTCCATGAACTGCAGCTCGTGTACCCTGCGGTGGTGGCGGCGGCGGCGGGGTCAGCTCCGACCGGCCACGGCGGCGGAGAGGTCAGGACGGATCGGCCACGGCGACGGAGAGGTCAGCACGGACCGGCCACGGCGGCGGAGGGGTCAGCACGGACCGGCCACGGCGGCGGAGGGGTCAGCACGGACCGGCCACGACGGCGGAGGGGTCAGCACGGACCGGTCACGGCGGCGGAGGGGTCAGCTCGGACCGGCCACGGCGGCGGAGGGGTCAGCTCGGACCGGCCACGGCGGCGGGGAGGTCAGCACGGACCGGCCACGACGGCGGAGGGGTCAGCACGGACCGGTCACGGCGGCGGAGGGGTCAGCTCGGACCGGCCACGGCCGCGGAGAGGTCAGGACGGACCAGCCACGGCGGCGGAGAGGTCAGCACAGACCAGCCGCGGCGGCGGAGGGGTCAGCACAGACCGGCCACGGCGGCGGAGGGGTCAGCACAGACCGGCCACGGCGGTGGAGAGGTCAGCACGGACCGGTCACGGCGGCGGAGAGGTCAGGACGGACCGGCCACGGCGGCGGAGAGGTCAGCACGGACCGGCTACGGCGACGGAGGGGTCAGCACAGACCGGCTACGGCGGCGGAGGGGTCAGCATAGACCGGCCACGGCGACGGAGGGGTCAGCACGGACCGGCCACGGCGGCGGAGAGGTCAGCACGGACCGGCCACGGCGACGGAGGGGTCAGCACAGACCGGCCACGGCGGCGGAGAGGTCAGCACGGACCGGCCACGGCGACGGAGGGGTCAGCACGGACCGGCCACGGCGGCGGAGGGGTCAGCACAGACCGGCCACGGCGGCGGAGAGGTCAGCACGGACCGGCCACGGCGGCGGAGAGGTCAGCACGGACCGGCCACGGCGGCGGAGGGGTCAGCACGGACCGGCCACGGCGGCGGAGAGGTCAGCACGGACCGGCCACGGCGACGGAGGGGTCAGCACAGACCGGCCACGGCGGCGGAGAGGTCAGCACGGACCGGCCACGGCGACGAGGCTCGCTGAGCGGAGATGAACACTCTTCGCTGGCCGTTATCAGACAGTCCGGGCACGGCCCTACCCTGGGTCGCTGAGTTATCAGCAGAAAAACGTGGCCACCGGACGACAGTTATTACACTGCGGACACCGACGGCGCTCTAGTCGCCATCACACACATAATCTAGAACTCATTTTGTTCGGTGGGATGCCGTCTTCAAATGGGTAGCCACCGGTGGCGTTCTCAGCAATGACATGAACAGCGCAAACCCGCAATCTACAATGGCCATGTCAGTAGCATGTTTGCTTGTGATGTCCACTAATTGAGAGCCCGAGTGTTTTCTTCGCCGCCTCGAGGCCGGCCGGCGGCGCCTCACGAGCCGACTGGCAGGGCCACGCACCTGATGTTTCCCTGCCGGTCCCCCGAGGCCAGTTGTTTGCCGTCGGGCGATATTTTGATGCAGCGCACGCCGTTCTTGCAGTCGTAGCTGGGGTCGGTCTTGTCGCTGTTCTCCCGCGAGCCCTGGTCCACGTCCTTCAGGTACTGCAGCGACGGGTCGATGTACAGGATCTTCAGAAGGTCCTGCGCAGGCGGCAGAGACGGGTCAGGACGCCACCGCGCATGCGGTCTGCACATGATGGGCGCGCGCTACTTATCAGCCGGCGCAGAGCGAAGATGGCGTTCGTCATTCAAGAGCTTGATCTTAGGGTACCACACACTGATACACCCCACATACAGCACCATCCTCCAAGGACGGATGCCAAGGAGTCGGCAAACACGCCTGTCAGTGTATGGCTGTTTTGGGCGCTTGCAAGATGTACAGTACCGCGGGATGGAAGATGCGAGGAAGAGAAATCCGGTGTTCACGTTCGCCTCTCGAAGCAAAAAGGTGCTTTCTCTCCGGCACTAACACCAGACATACTAGCTCACAACACAATTACCAGTCACCGCGGTTCATAGCCATCGTCACTACAGTCGCCCCAGCACCGCGTCATCCGTCCGACACTAGCAGTCGCCACCGAGCCCCCCTCCCCCCTCGGCGCGGCCACTCACGTTGCTGTAGATGTTGCGCTTGTACACGGTGTTGTTGGGCATGCTGGGGTCGAGGTTCCAGATGCGGATGGTGTCGTCCGACGAGCAGGTGATGAAGGAGCCCGGCGGCAGCACCGACTTCAGGCCGTCCACCTGCGGGTACGTCTCGACGCCCCAGATGCAGGCAGAGTGGTACAGGAACGAGTGCGACTTGCCCACCTGTACGGACAGAGGACAGGTGATGTCAGAGACAAACCGAGGCTAGTTATGATGAGACCAGGGACAGCCAGGGCCCGGGCAGAGGGCGGCCTGCTCGCTTGGCGTGAGCGAGGCAGGTCATGTTCTGGGGAAGGGGTGGCTTGCGGCTATTGGGCAGGGCGCCCTGCCCAGCCCATCACCTGGGGAAGGACGTCAGCTTCCAGTCTAGGTGCAGGGCGACCGCCTGGCGAACCATCACTCGATGAGGGGAGCGGCCAACCCGTTCAAAGGCCGCGCCGCCAAATGTTAGCCAAATGGCAGCTGAGAACGCCACGATGACAGGTACTCGGAAAAATATGATGAATCACTCGGCGGCGACCACAAAAACTGGCTCCTATTGGTGGCAACAGCAGGTGAGATGGGATGACTCGCAGAAATGACAGCGCACTCCTTAACCAAAGGGCGGCAAAACACAGTCGGGGCGATTAGTACGTGCACAGCTTTCCCATCCTCAGGAAAAACCATGGCTGTTACATACAGCATGACATGAAAAAGGTGAACCATTTACCCGCGGAGCACAAAAACATTCCGATGGCGAAAACGTAGCTGAAGCCGCCTAACATCCTAAAATATAATTCAAACTACAAAAATAAGCCACCGAAAGCCTCGCGTACAAAAGACAAACTGGACATAAACAAATGCGCACAATGCAGCAGACAAACGAGCTATGACAGATGAGCTGAGAGCGTTAGTGGCTCAAGACTGCTACGCCTGCCCAGTCATGGCCGTCCGTCCCCACACAGCGGCGCCGCAGGGGCGTGCCGCGCGGCCCCCGCGCCATGACCTCATCGCCGGCCGCACCTTGCCGATGTCGCGCACGTCCCACACGTAGACGGAGTGATCGTTGTAGAAGCAGGTGACCTTGTGCGCCGTCTCGTCGTAGGTCACGCCGACGCAGTCCGGGTACCGGCTGCCGGCCGGGTGCGCCGCCATGTGGCTGCAACGAGCCCGCCCCGTCAGGCGCCGCCGCGCGCCGCCCGCTCGGTGGGGTGGCCCCGCTGCCGGGCCCGGCGAACGGCCCCGGCCGCGCCGGCCCCCAGCCGGCCTTGCCGCACGCCACGGCGCCGCCGCGCTCGCCCGGCGCTTCGGTGAAGCGATCGCTGCGGCCATTCCGTGCACTTGCCAGGAATCCGCGCGCCTCTTGCATGCCGTGCATCAAGTGCATCATCAAAGACATCATCAACTAGTTAAAGAATGCGGAATTCCAGGCGCCTCGGTCACATGTTAATGCGCAAATAATGTAAAGCGGTATGGCGGCCAGCCCGCCGGCCGACGGCAGGTCTCAGGCAACGGAGCTCGGCGGGCAAGCCCCATCACCTCATGTCTCAACAGCACCTGATGGCTGGTAACACCCTGGTAACACCCCGACGATGGCGCACAGCCGGCACCATGACGTCATCGCCGGCATCACACCACGTCACCACACCGCCATCGGGTCGGCGTCGCACGCGCCGGCCTGGGAGCGGCCGCAGTACCTGATGGCCAGTCCCCGGGCCAGGTCCACGCCCAGGTAGTGGGTGCGCGGCAGCGTGGTGACGAACTGCAGCGTGTGCGGCGAGAAACAGCGCACGATGCCGTCCGCGCAGCCGATGAAGATCAGCTGCTCGCCGGCCGCCATGCAGTTGGCCGTCTGCGTCTGCGGCCGGCCGGCGGGGGACAGCGTCAGGCGCGTCCCGCCCGGTGTCAGCAGGCCGAGCGGCGCTGGTGGCCACATCGCGAAACGCGCAGCTTCGCCGCACGCCGAGGATGGTCACGCGCCCACTGCACGACCAGACTCAACGGCGACTCGGTCCCATTTGGTGGGCAGTTGTCTCGCACTAACGTCACAGAATACCCCACGTCCGCTGCACACGATGTCTGCTAACCGATGCCAACGTTCTAAAGCTGCCAGATCCCCTCCCCCTCCCCCAAGTACCTACAAACGGGTACGAGGTATGACCCATCCACTCCCGGTGTGGCTCCGCTGCACTACATGCTAGGAGTGTCATTTCCCATTCCATTAGGGCGGGGCTTCAGCTCCACCTCCCCCTCGCCCGCGGAAAATTTCAGAAGGAAGTTGGCTATACACATGTGTACGGAGAAAAACACATTTTCCTGCACTTTGAAGGTAGATTAGTCATTTCCCTCCCCAGCCCCTCCTCAACTTATTTGCCAAAGCTACACCCCTCTTACGTACTGCAATCGGACGTCAGAGTCGCGCGAACCTGGGCTCCTAGTCCCGCGCCATCTGTTCGTGCCCCTCCCACTGTGCGTGAGCGGCCCTCCTCCACCTGTTCCGCTGTGCGTGCACCGCCCTCACCCGCAGCTCCACCCATTTGTCGAGCAGGCGGCGGTTGTTGAACTCGCAGAGCAGGCCGGACCGGGTGATGGCGTACGTCGAGTCGCCCATCTCGCCGCGGCCGCACGCCACGTCGCAGAAGTAGTTGTTGCGCTGCTCACCGAGGATGGCTGAGCGGCCCGTCAGTGGCATCGCCTCCTTGAACTGTCGGCACGGCACATACCGCGGGTCACGCGCTGGAGAACAAGCGGTCCGCCTGAGAGAGGGCGGCGGGCCGAACAGGGGGACGTGTCATACTGTGGCATCTGATGGTGTGACCCTGGCCCGCTGCAAATCAGGGCAGCCTGAGGGTGGCGGGTGGAACAGGGACGGAGTGTCGCACCGCGGGCTCTGATGGTGTGACCCTGGCCCGCTGCAAACCAGGGCAGTCTGAGGGTGGCGGGCCGAACAGGGGCGACGTGTCATACTGTGGGCTCTGATGGTGTGGCCCTGGGCCGCTGCAAACCAGGGCAGTCTGAGGGTGGCGGGCCGAACAGGGGCGGAGCGTCACACCGCGGACTCTGATGGTGTGACCCTGGACCGCTGCAAACCAGGGCAGTCTGAGGGTGGCGGGCGGAACAGGGGCGACGTCTCGCACCGTGGGCTCTGATGGCGTGACCCTGGGCCGCTGCAAACCAGGGCAGCCTGAGAGAAACCATGTAGCCGAATGACGTAGCGAGATCGATTCCCGTGTTTCATCGATGTCAGCTGAGACCCATGCAGTCATGCATTTCAAAGGCAATTGAATATCACTTCAGCCCTCGCCTACGCCTTTCCCACTGCCGTAAAATCAATCATCTCGCCATTACATCACGCTGGAAGCAGAAGTAATTCAGACGCAAATGAAGTCGGCGCTTGCGTAACTGATAGCCGCAGTTTTTATTACGTTTCGGGAAACGATCTTCCCACGTTCACTCTCGTCGACAGTCATCAATCGTTGGCTTTTGAGCTCGTCAACACCTACTGATACCCCAGAGCTGACAACGCTCCGCCGCCGACACGGCAGGGGGTCGGCGCGGGGGTCAGAGTCCTCGCGCGCGCGCGCGCGCAGAACGGTGGGCGGACGGTGGGTGGAGCGCGGAGCGTTCGCGGCCGGGCGGCGGCGCCCCCAGCCGGCCTGGAGGGGCGCGGCCGCGCGCAGCTGGTGCCGCATCTGTGGCCGGCGTCGTCCAGCGGCTGGATGCACGTGTGCCGGCGGCAGCTCGGCGGCGGCGGCGGCGGCGGCGGCGCTGGGCCGCGCTCTGGCTCTGTGCGTGACGGCGCACGGCCCGCCCCCGGCCGCGGCGGCTGCCATACCGGCCGACCGTGCCTCACCCTCGAAACAGGAGCTGCCTCAGTGGCCGACCGTGCCCTGCTCTCGTCACACGGGCCGCCATATTGGCTGGCGGCTGCGGACAAAAAGCGAGGCCCGGCGCCGACCTTTAGGCTGCGGGGCGTTCACCTCGGTCGTGTTCAATACGGCTGCACGGCGAGCCGCCTCGGCGACTGACCGCCCGCGACAACCCTACAAAGACTGGCCGCCGGCGACAACGCCAGAGCGACTGACCGCCGGTGACAACCCCAGGGCGACTGACCACCGGTGACAACCCCAGGGCGGCTAGCCGCCGGTGACAACCCTAGGGCGACTGACCGCCGGTGACAACCTTAGGGCGGCTGGCCGCCAGACATCCGCACCAAAGCCCGGGCTCGTGAGGCCAGATTCTCACCGAAGCCCGGGCCCGCGATGCCGGGCTCCCATGCTCACCTTGGAAGACCTGGAGAGCTCGAGGTACCAGAACTTGACGTGCCGGTTGCCGACGGTGACGAAGTAGCTGCCGTTCTCGGCGAAGGAGACGGCCTTGACCCGCGAGCTGACCTTGTTCGAGGCCACCTTCACGTTGCGCTGCCAGTCCCACACGTTGACGATCATGTCGTGCTGGAAGCCCACCGACACCACATACTTGTTGCCAGGCGAGAAACCCTGTCGGAGAGCGGGCGTTATCGCGAAGGACTCACACGAACATCGATTCACAAGAAACGAGGTGGAGTATGAAGCCGTAGTGTGTTGATGTGAAGTGCAAAAACTTCTGGCACGGTGGCGAACTGCCGCATGAAGCAAAACACAAAAACTAGCAGGGAGAGGTATAATCGGAGCAGTGAATGATGCCTGCATCCCTTGTTTTCTCAATGTTCTGATATCTTAAGTAACTGGGTCACATGAACAAGGAAAATGCATTCCCGCCTACCTTTGTAGCGATAGGGAAAAAAAACACAAGGCCCGTGCGGTATGCGTGAAAAGGCTGAGACATTCCAATAAAAGAGCGATAACAGCGCGGACGTTCCAATAAAAGAGAAAAGACATTAACTGGCTCGAAGAGAGCTTCGCCCAATTACCGAAGAAACTTGCGTAACTACCCGAGGTTTCTCATCTCAATTCATAGGATACCAGTCTTACGGCACATAGGCGTCCAGAAACCTCCAATCCCTTAAAACATCGGAAACGTTCCAAGCTTTTAATCGCCCGTGAGCGCCGACACGCAGTCGTTCGTATTTTATGAGGAAATCCAATTTGAAAGCTGTCACTCATCTGGATGCGCTCCCATTCGTGATCTAACCGTGCACTGTCAGCGGTTACGTGACTCGACAGTTACACTACACTGACCGCCTGTGCGTGATCGCCAATCAAAGGCTCCTTGGGTCCGCCGGCTGGACAGCTTTACAGGAAGATCCGGCCCATTACTGAGTCGCAGCACGGCCCAGCTCGCTCCCCGTGTCATTAAAGCATGGGAGATCTGCGCTCGAACGGAAATGCAGTCGCTATCCCCTCCCCTCCGTTCTCCAACCCGCGTAAATATTCAGATAAATCCGCTAACGCCTGACACAATTCATTCAAGGCTTCAGATGATTCGCTGCCACCAGTCCGCGGCAGATGGTCGGCTGAGAGCACCTCCAAGGACAAGTGACCGCGATTCTGCGAATGTGAAGCAGCCCAAGCAGCTCCAGCTTGGCATGCGCCGCCCGTCATCACTGTTGTTGCCTTGAACATGACACCGGAGAGCCGAGCCGAGCAATGTGGGGCTTTGAGGAGCCGCCCCGGCAACAAACCGCTCCTGAAGGGCTTCGCCACCAACCGCCAGAGCCCTGGCGTCATGAATGCGGCGTGGGCCGCGGGCGCACGCGCACGTGACCGGGAATACCGAGCGCGCTGACCCCGTGACCTCGGCCGAAACACGACACGGCAGCGCCGACGTCGGCACCGCCGAAAGCAGAAATAGGCCGCCGCTAGCGGCCGGCGCGGAAGCCGATGGGCGGGTGACTTCGTCAACTGAGGGATTCCTGACCAGCGTTCTGCAAAACTAGCGGAGCAAGGCTAACTGTTGAGAGTGGTCAACTTGTCTTGGAGACCCGTACGCCGTCCAGCGCGCCTTGTCAGGCGCCTCGGGAGTAATTTATTCACGGTTGCGAAACAACAGATTGGTTGCACGCATGACTTGAGGAAAGTGGGTAACGTCTCACGCCGGCTGCTGACGCAGCCGACTCATTACAGCCCGCCAGTGAGCGCCTGGATTTCCAGCCCCAAGGCCGCGACTTCCCCTCAGGACGTCTGACACGCGCTACGACAACGATCTGACCTCGCGGCCAGCTTCCTTAATCCGACGACCCTCGGTGGCTTTTAATACGCACTGCGCGACATCTGTGACCATCCAATCCCGGCCACAGACCCCTGTCAGCCGACCGTCGGCCCCAGTCCGCCTGCTCCGCCCCGTCGTCCGGTGGCGCAACGGGCGTCGTCCCGTTGCGCCACGGCGCGGCCGGCGGCGGCGGCGGCGGCGGCCGTGTCGGTGCATCGGCCGGGGCCGCCCCGTTGACGGACGTGCTCGCCGTACAAGGTCAGCGGCGCTCACAACACGGCGCGCGCCGGCATCTAAATCGCCGACCGGACGGCCTGCAGCCGGGCGCCCGCTGACCGGCGCGGCCGCCCGGTGGCGCGCCCAGGGCCGATTTTGGGCGGGCAGCGCCGACCGTTGCTACCCGGCGGGGATCGACAGGACATCTGTCCCCTGATGCTTGGTGGAGCCCGTTCCCGGACTGTGTGCTGTGTCGGTGAGTGCCCTCCTGCGCGCGCCCCTGGCGCCGGCCGCAGGGCCCAGCTGGAGCCCGGACGCGGCGCCCGGGCTGTTTGGCCGCGGCTGCTGTGATGTATGGCACCCGATTAGCATGCGGCGACGAGAGAGCCCGGCCGGCCCGTCGGCGGAGCACGACCAGCTCCCGACATGGTGGTCGTGCGTGCGCCGAGCGTCCGCCGTGGGCGAGCAGCACGCCACGCCACGGCCGCGCTCGGCAGCGCGGTGGCCGCTGCAGCGCCGGCCGGCCGGCCGCTGGGCCCTGTCCGTCGACGTCAGGCCGGCGAGTGACGCGCGTCACGCGGCGGCCGCCAGAGGACGCGGGGTCGGCTGGGAGGCGGCGAGCGCCTGGAGAGTGACGCGCGTCACACGGCGGCCGCCGGAGGACGCGGGGGTCGGCTGGGAGGCGGCGAGCGCCTACTCGGCCCTGCCCGGCACCAGCCGGGGCCACGGATGGCGGCCGGAACGCGGGCACCGGCCCGGAGTCAGGGCGCGGAGCTGGCTCTCGCAGCGGGGCGCCGAGCTGACCGGGCGCCTCACACGGCAGGCGGTCGGGTCACGAGGCCGGCCCGCGGCACGGCAGCACGGCAGCGGCCGCAGCCGCGCGCGCAGTGAAAGTGATGGCCGGCCGACTTCACGACGTCTCCAACACTGGTGGCGGCGGCGACGCACGCACGTCCCGATGTCAAACAGGTCCTCCGCCAGCCCGACCGGCGACCTTGGCAGGAGCGCACGCCGGCCGCTGCCGTCCCTCGGCCTTTAAGACTGAATGGGCGCGGCCTGGGGTGATTACGCTCGGTGCACATACCAGCAGGCGGTCGGGCTCGCCGGTAAGCGCATCACGACAACCGGTCTGCAATGGGTCGCTCGCTCCTTTTTCAGACGCGGACCGACAGATAGACGTCAGGTGGATGATTAATGGACCATGGGGCGGCCCGGATGGCGGCCTTTCCAGTTTCCACGAGGCATGCTGAGTCGTCACGAGCCAGAGCCAGATGTGCGTTGGGGACAAATCTGTGAGTCTGGCAAGTCAACGCCGACCTCCAAATCGACGATGTCTTTTACGTCACACCAGCACCCGAGGCCGTACCTGCAGCGGTCGTAAAACAATGAAGTGGTCGTAAAATCAAGTCAGCACGCTTTGTGGATGTCAGACATGTGGATAACGCAGCAACCTCAATGATAAAATATAAAAAAACACCAGTGTTCTTGATTTACGGGGCGGACCTCAATGTTTCTTACAACGGGAGGCCGGGCCGCTATCTAGTACCTGGGAGCGGAGGAGGCCCCACCATTCCCGCAGCTGCTGGAGTCATCCCTGGCACTTAATTATCCCCATACAGAATACTCAAGTGCCCCTTACCAGCATCTGACGCGGGACGCTCCACCGTCCTCGTTGCCCCTCCGCTAAGATCTACACGGGGAGTTGTGCCCGCTATCTCCACGTGATCTTAAGCACCTTCCATCTGTTACAGGACGTCAATGCCACGGCGCCAGCCAGACACCAGCCTGCACCAGTTTTGCCGCGAGGGCGGCCGCCTGCCTGCCTGCACCGGGGGCAGGAGGCGCCTCCTCCGCCCGCGCTACCGCGCCGGCCGGCGGGAGGCGCCTCTTCCGCCCGCTCCACCGTGCCGGCCGGCGGGAGGCGCCTCCTCCGTCCGCTCCACCGCGCCGGCAGGCGAGAGGCGCCTCCTCCGCCCGCTCCACCGTGCCGGCCGGCGGGAGGCGCCTCCTCCGCCCGCTCCACCGTGCCGGCCGACGGCGAAGGCGCCTCCTCCGCCCGCTCCACCGCGCCGGCCGGCGGAGGAGGCGGCAGTTCGCTCTGCGGGTACCGCCGCCTCCACCGACGCCCCGCTGTTACGCGTCCGCCCGGCTCGGTCCGGCGCGTCACTTTCGCTGGTTCACACGCGCGCTCGAATTTCACGCTCCGGGGAAGCCGGAGCGTCCGACTGCACTGCCGCCTCCTTCCGAGTGGCGTTCTCCGTGCCGGCACGCCCCGGTGTGTGTCCTGAGTGGACCCACAGCTGCGGTCGTGCAAAACAGGGCCAGCACAATCCTATCGGTGCCCAGCTGTGCGCCAAAACAGGGAAGTGTCGTTTGTCACGTCCTTTGGGTACGACACGGTCCACCAAAAAGCCGCTCGTGGTCAGCGTCCAGCCTGCATACAAATGAGAAAGACCGCCTCGTAGCATAACGATGGCGCAACGCCTTAATGCGTTTTAACTTCCAAGCACAAGCCGACGAGTGTCCACTTTCATCTTTGATTCAATAAAGAACTGGCCCCTGGAAACGCTTTATGGTCGTGTCACGTCACCCTGTAACTTGTGGTCTGCCCATCGCAAACATGTTTTCCTCCCGAAATCTTAAAGGAAATGGCGTCAGTTGGCTCGCAGACTGGCAACCGGCTGAAATAGCCAGCGATTGTTGTGACATCACGAGACCGCTGGCGGGCGGCCGGCGCCAGCCAGGCTCTGCACGCAGCCCGCACGGCCGACGCAAAGACCGCCGGTCATATCGTCTGATAGATGTACATACACCTCAGCAAGGAGCGCGGTACAGGCTGACAAACATCGCGATTATTAGCGGCGGCGCCGGACCCTGTCCGTGGCCCCGCCACTGCGCCGGCACCGGCGGCCAAGCCGCGGATGACACGCCCCGACCGGGCGGTTCAGTCGGGCTCTGGTCTCCACGGCGGACTGGGGGTTCAGTCGGGCTCTGACCTCCACGGCGGACCGGAGGGTTCACCTCGCTTGACGAGACGACCGCACTACAGCCGCTCCCAACCGACCAACATGCGCCGCCGGCGGGCCGGAGCCACGGCCGGCGCACAGCGGCGACACGGCTGTCCGGCCGGGCCGGCTGGTCACCCCGCCGACCCAACCAGCTGGCCCGGCGGCCATTGTTCAGGCGCGCCGTCCGCGGCACGCGCCCGGTAGCCGCCGCACCTCATTCGGAGCGCGCCGCGGGGGTCCGATGCAACAATGCACGGCCGCCGCTGCGCGCCGAGTCCGATGACTGGCGCGCGCGCCGCCGCGTGACACTTCGCCCGCCTGCTCAGCGCGGCGGCGGCGGCCCGTAATTCGCCGGAGCAGAAGGAAACGCTCCCACGCCGGAGACTTTCCAGTCGTTGACCAGGTGCCGCTTTGTTCGCCGCGTGTGCACTGGGTTATCAGGCCTGCTAATGCGCGGCTTTACGGGCGGACCGCGCAACACGTAATCCGTCATCATTACGCTGTCCCGTGTCGACCCCGACGGGTTCGTTAGCGAATGTCGTGAGTGGTTATTGGGAGGGAAGACTGACCACCGACCTTCTGCAGGCTTCATTGAGTTCGCAACTGATGGATGACTTATATATGGAGTTGGCGGAAACCTGGAATATTCCATAACGATTCGGTCAAGACCTTTTCGTCACTCATAGCACCCTACTCGCTCAATATCCGAGGAAAACCGGACCACTAGAATCTGCGGTGGTGCCAGCCGTCGAAGCACGCTCACAATACGTATGCCAAGCCGGTGGGAACAAAAATGTTGGTATTTGCGGCCCCAAAAACGCATGCTCATCTCACAGCTGTTGGGGTAAAATCACTAAAACTGGAAAAGTGCGGCACTTTGGCGCCAGTGATCTACAAACCAGAAAATTGAGTCGCGACTGAAGTCTCTCCCCGTTCGCTAACGACCGCGAGTTATCGGTTGTTTAAAGCTCATCGAACGAGAGGCACTCCCCACAAAACCGGACCTGAGCGGGACAGTAAACACGTGAAGGGTGGAGTCCTAACACCGTGACGGTGACTCTCGGAACACATCGTCTCCTAAACCACTCGTGGGCCCCGCCGATAACGTGTTTGCGTGCCTGCCGCGTCGCCCACGCGCCTATTGGGTGCAAACAAGCCGCGCCAGGTGTCGAATGGCTCCGCGGTGACGAAACCCGGCGTAAATGAGACGCATTTTCGCTTGCGTCGTGGTCCTTAAGCGGCGGTAATTTGGCCACTTCAGGGCGCATGGAACGGGTCGGGGTCATTAGCGATGTGGCCTCTCACACGAGCGGCCTGGGGTGGGTGAACCTCGTCTGGCCGCAGGGCGACTGGAGGCAAGACTCAGGGGCACTACTGCACCTCGCGCACGCCGAACCAGCAGGCGCGCCACAAGCCTACTAGCAACCTCGTCAGAAAGCTAGGCCGGGCAAGTGTGACGAGACCGCGCCAGCAGAGAGAGTGCGATCTTGCACGCCGGTCACGCGGCTTCCACAATCACGACGCCCGCAAGAGGTGCACGACCATGCTCACAGGGTGCTGATGTTAATGTCCACAACACAATCAATTGACCGCCTGGTCACCACCAATGCGTCGCGCCCTTTGAACCCGGGCGGATTATCAGGCATGCCCGCCGGCGAAAACATGGCCGCCGCCTGCACAGCGGCCGAGAGCGAGTGAAGGCCAGAAGAAAGCACGGGTGCTCGCAGCCCAGCATTTAGCCGGTTATCTCGGCACTTGCCGCACGATAATATCCGATTATTTCGAACCAAAATTACCGGGAAGTCAATCAGCCACGGAAGAGAAAAGCATAAAGGGTTCTATCCCGCACATAATAAAAAGCCTCTCCACTCATCAAGACGACGTCTGCAGGAAAATAATAGGGGGTGGAAACGCTCACAGCGCGCGGACGGAAAGCGATGTGACAACACATTATCCAATGGGGTAGTATGACATCGCGTCATTCATGTCCGGGTTAAGGAAAATCAAGCGCAAGCATTGGCCGTACCCTATCATAGTCCAGCGTGCCTCGGCAGTATTAACCCGTCTCCCTTCCTCTACACCAAAACACTGTGGTAGAGGAGTCTGTTGGTACACCAAAACACCCTGGTAGAAGAGTTTCTTGTTACACCAAAACATCCTCGTACGCGGGTCGCCACCAGCCGCCAGCTACCGTGTTTGGCAACACAGAGATGCGCGGCCCGATAGGTGGGCGTCAGTAATACGCAGACCGTGTCGCGTCACGTGGCCCCACAGACAATGCCATTCCACCGCCGGAATAGCCGGCCCGCTGACGGATAGCGTCCACTCCGCTGTTGACATTGCCGCGCGCGGAGGCGGCCCAGACGGCCGCGTGCGCGTTACGCGCCGTTTCTCTCTGTCGGGCGTCTGCATGTGCGGCCATCACTCAGTCGTCTGCCGCGCGCCTGCGTGAAGCCGACAACACTGGACGGCGCGGCTGTGCCGCGGAGGCCGCCACTCCGAAGCGGGCGGCACGGCTCCTGGCCGCCCTCAGCTGAGACGCGCGCGCAGTACGAGGCTCATCCCGCCGCCGACAGACCAACAGCGCCCAAAACGTCAGTGCCAGCCAGCCAGTTGCAAGCAAATGCCAACAGGCAGGCAGGTTCAATTCGGCCATAATAAAGCACATCCGCTTTTTGTGGCACTTGACTATCCCAGCGAGAATAGTTGTCTGCGTATTTCTCGAACTTGCATAAATCCTGCCCTCTTTCCCCCGGGTTCCCAGCACTTCTACGCCATTGCCCCACTGATCACGGCACCGCTTCACTCTGTTACGGGCCCTCCGCACCTTTACTGCCGCAGTGCCCGACACACTCTACCCTTTGCCGCAGCGCCCCACATCCTCTACCCTTCCCCTCCTCCCCCATCCCCCATCCTCATCCCCATCCCCATCCCCATCCCCGTCCCCATCCCCGTCCCCGTCCCCATCCCCACCCCCATCCCCATCACATCACATCACCATCACCATCACCATCACCACCACCATCACCATCACCATCGCCATCGCCATCGCCATCCCCCATCCCCAACCCTCACTCACCACGCAGGTGATGCCGTATTTGTGCACGAGGAACTCCTGCAACAGAGTCTTGTCCTGGACGTTCCAGACGCGCACGGCCGGCTGGTGGCCGCACTCTCCCGTCACCAGGTACCGGCCGTCGGCCGAGAACCGCAGCGACGTGATCGACTTCTTGGATGTGTTCAGGATGTGCGTCTGCTTGTTCTTCTTCGGGTTGTACAGCACCACCGTGCACCTGGAGGCAGAAGGTGGTGGTCAGGCGCGACCAGTGCCGGGACGAGGGCGCAGACGAACGAACAGGGCGCAAACGAACGAACATGACACAAGCATGTGGTCAGGCGCGACCAGTGGTGGGACGAGAGTGCAAACGAGCGAACACGACACAAGTATCTGGACAGGTGCAACCAGTCGTGGGACGAGGGCGCAAACGAACGAACACGACACCAGCGTCACGCGATCGGAGCTAACCGCCGGCAAACGAACAGAACACGTCGCAGAGTCATTAACGGAGTTGTTCCTGCTTGCCAGACGTCGTCCCCTCCTCTGTCGGCCTGTGCTGGAGCTGCCGGCGTCGCTGCCGCCGTTGTGTGCATCTATCTGCGGGCCTGAGGGGCCGGCACCGCCCAGGGGCGAGCCCGCTGGCGGGCTGGCTGAGATTGAGAGCAGCACCCGGCGCGCGGCGGCTGAGATTGAGAGCAGCGCGCCACCGCCTGCCGGGCCCACTGTTGCACAAGCTGGCCGCGCCGCTCCCACGCTATCTCGGCGTGCACTGCGGGCGCGTATCACTTGCGCCGGTGACGAGCGAGCGCGGCCTTCACGCCACACGAACTCATTTCGCAGCTCAAGCCATATTCATCCGGATCTGGAACAAGCTTGATATGTGTCAGCCTGTTGAGTATGGCATCCATCCTGTATCGGTGACCAGCTGCCACCAGACCAGTGCCCCTATATCGGTGACGCCACCGCGTGTAGCTCGTCTATGAGCGGCGCATGGTGCGTTACGCGGCCGCCGCCGGTTCGCGGACGGCGGCACGGCACGGCACGGCACGGCACGGCACGTGGCCCGCGGGCCCGGTTATCGGGGCGCCATCCGTCGCGCTCGGCCGCCGGCCGGCCGGACGTCGCACGGCCGCTGAATAATGGAGCGGCGGGCGACCGTGCGTCCGGACGGCCGGACGAGGCCGGCCAGCTGATGCCGCCACGGCACCCGCCCGAGCCGGGCTGCCAGCCCGCCGGCGCCGGCCGACGGCGGCACCGGCCACCCAGAGACAGTGGGGGTCAGACCGACGGTCCGCGCGGCGCACATGCCCGGCAGCCTGAGCTCCAGAACGTGACGCGAGTCATTAACGTGCTGCGCACGACAGCAAACAGTTCATGAATATCTATCGCCAAATCAATAAAAGCCGTCGGGAGGCGGCGTTTTAGCATATCTGGGAGGCGCCGGGGCCTGTTCGCCCACGCCGACATTCCGGCCGGCTGACGTCACGCCCTCCGATATGATGCGGCGGCGCGTCAGCTGACGGCCGGATGTCGCCGCACGCGCCGTCCATGCCTCGCGCACCTTCCTCCGCGGGACCTTCGCGCTGGCGCCCTTAAAAGGTCGCCTGCCGCTCGAGCCGCGCTGCAGTCGCCGCGGTTACGAGCCCTGCATTCCGGCGTGTGGTCGGACTGACTTCGTCCGGCTCGGCGCGGGCTCGCGTGTCTGCGGAGGACGTATCCGCCACGGCCACTCGCCACCCCGGCGCAGGGACACCTGGCACGGCGTGGTCGCGAGCTGACTCTGGCGCCGGACGCCGCTGGGTGAGGGGTGGCTCGCGGGGTCGGCCTGGTTCGTCGAGACACGCGGCTCGCCGGTGGACGCTGTGCGTGATCCCGCGAGGGCGCCCTGTTCTCGCTAACGCTGGGATGCGGTTTTCCTACGGTGATTCGGGACGCCACACGCTCAGCAAATTCGTGTCATGCATTGCCCTTTCCGGAGACGGAAACTGGCACACGTGGACAAGCACGGGGATCCTATCACCGCGCCACAATGTGTGTCAACGAATGCGTAATGAATGCGGTGGCATGTCCAAATGGACAATGGTAGGGCATACAAACAGACGCCTGCCCTGAATGGCGTGATAAAAACTGTCACGAGCCGATGAATGAAAACAGACCGGAAACAGACCAGTTTTGAATTGTTCAACGCCTTGAACAAATTCCTCCACACGGAAGAGTCCTGGCGGCGCGAGACGATACTCCAAATCTCGTCACTTATCCGCGGAACAATGCGCCGGCCATCTGGACAGGTGTCCAGATGGCCGGCGCCTTGACGCCGCAGCCTTGACGTGTCAGCCCACAACACAGGCGGAAGCCGTCCACGCTCCAGGAAGAGGTCGTGTCGCGATGGCATCGGCGTCCCCTGTGTCTCTTGCCGCCACTCGATGCGGCCGCCGCTCGTCCGTCAAGGTCGGGACGCAGCGGGCGCGGCGTGATGGCGCGATCGCCGCGCCGGCCGAGGCGTCGTGATGACGCGATCCCCGCGTCCGCCGCGGTGTCGCGGCGGACGGCCAGCTTAATTAGTCGGTTCGCCCCTCCCTCCCCTCTCCTCACCGCAGCCCCTCCCTCGACCACAGCGGCGACCGCCGAGCGTGTCCGAGCCTTCGGCCGCCCGGGGACGGGCCAGCCCCGTCCACATCGCGGACAACAGAGCGCCGTCGGCCGGCCGACAGCGGCGCCGCAGGGCCAGAAGGGCGACGACGGACACCGCACAGGCGTGCCGACTCTGAGCGAGGTGCAATGGAAACAGATCTCGGACGGTACGTCGGCGCCGCGTTCAGGCTGGCTGCAGGTGACTGTCGTGCTTCCCCAGATAACCCGTACCTCAGCCACCCGTATGATGACATTCGCCGACGACACCGGGACCGGCCGGATCTCGCCAGACGCTCGTCGCGCCGCGAGACTTCAACACACGCCAGCGCATCGATCGCGGTCCGTAACGACCCGATGTGCACACTGCGGTGCGCCGCGCCTCTGACGCGCCGTGGGAGCGCCGTCCGAGACCGAGGGCGCAGGGCGGCCTTGGTGCGTCTTCGAGACGCACTGCTGCAGGTGCACCAGGCTGAACGTTTTGTCTTGTACTGCATCATTCAACACCCTCCTCCTGCATGTTGATGCGGCGCGAAGGCGGCGTGTGGTGCACGGCTCGCGCCTGCAAGACACTGTCAGCCGCGCCACACCTCATGTATTCCGATGAGAAACACCAGCCGTGCTCGTCACGGTCCCAGGCCGACGCCTGCGAGGACACCACCTGCCTCGGCGGCGGGGCAGGGCAGGGCAGGGCCGGGCCGGGCCGGCCGGCGGCAGGCGCTGTGGCTTCCTGTCGCGCCGGCTCAGGCCACCGCCGTCACCGCGGCTGCGACAATGGTGGGCGGTCGGGCGCGAGGGTGTCGCCACCAGGCGCCCGACGGACCACAAACGATAGCGGCGACACACGGACCATACCGAGCAGCGGTACAGCGGACCCGTGTGCTGTACGGGACGGGGACAGCACACCGATGGACTATACCGAGCAGCGGTATAGCGGACCGATGTGCTGCACGGGACGGGGACAGCAGACCGACGGACCGTACCGAGAAGATACAACGGGCCCACGGGACAGACAGAGCAGGAGTCAGTGGAACGAAGGAGTACCCCGTGCTGGGGTACAGGGGACCAGCGGACCACACTAGGTACCGGGTACCCGGATCGGAACCTTTAGACCACACCGGACAGGCGTACAGCAGACCAACACTAACACGCGGGAGGGGTACAGGGGAGCACGGATCGCACGGAGCAGGGTTACAGTGGAAGGTCAGACCATACAGGGCGTCGAGCCGCCGTGGACCACTGGATCACGCAGGGACGGGCATGTCGTACTCACAGATCATAGCGACAGTGGTACTGTGGAGAGTAAGGGACAGACTGGCGCAGGGGTGTGCAGGGGTGTGCAGCGGACAATCGGATCTCGCAGGGACGGACCCATCGGAGAGACGGACCACACCGGTACAGAGTATAGCCAGGGCACAGTCAAACAAAGCCCGTGCAGGGATGACGGCGCAGCGGCCCAGCAGACAACAGCGCGGGGTGGCGTGGACAGACGGACCCCACTGCGAGGGAGCACTGACGGGGAGGCCGACCACGTGAGGCAGAGGTGGCGTTTCATATCTCGGCAAATTCCTGATGCTCGCCAGCCATACAGAGGAGCGAACAAAACCACCAGCATCCGCTGCGTCTCCGGACAAAAAAAAACGGTCGACAACAAGGCAAAGAAGACGGCTGATAACCGATGGCCGCTCCCGCCGGCCGCTGATCAGTAATCAGAGGCGGCGGCCCCGCCTCCCGCTGCGGCCGCATCACGTGACAAATCGCGTGTCGCGGCCGCTCCGTCACGTGACAGGTGGCGCGCCGTTCCGGACCGGCCACCGCCGCGCACAGGCGGCGTGAAGACACGGACGTCCGCCGCCGCCGTCTGCCCGTCGTCGCCCGTCCGGTCTCGTGGGCCGCAGCGCGGCGACGCGTCGGTTGCGCCGCACGTCCCGCCGGCCCCCTGGTCCAGCCCGCGTGAGCACCGAACAGCGAGCAGGGCAGGCTCCACGTCCAGCAGCGGTCCGATGGCTTGGTATTCAGCGCGCGGGAGGAGGCACTCAGAGAGAGGAAGCAGCACACAAACAGGGCGCAGATCAGTCATCCGTCCCTCTGCATGGAGCGCGGCGCGGTGTTGACGAGGCGGCCGACCGCAGCCAGCCCTCTCCGCCTCATCCGTGGACGTCTCCGGCCGCGGCTGATTGGCTCCCCTGCCGCGCTGGGTTCGGCGCTGGCGGCCCGCCGCGGCCGGCGGAGAAGGGGGAGGGCACCACGGCGCAGGAGGCAGACGACCCGGCGGCCAGCGCGCCACCGCAATTACTCGACCGCCCCGGCCCAGACAGGTATTCAATTACCGGGCGAACGAGCCGCCACAGTCAATGGGCGAGCGGGCCGCCGGCGCAAGCGGGCGTGACGCCTAGTGAGAAAATAGCCCAATTCCGGGGCCACGGCTGGGCGGCGCCGGCGCGGGCCCGGCTCCAGCCGCGGCGCCGTCCGATCGAGCCCAGCGGCGGCGGCAGCGCGTGGCTGACCGGCCGTGCCACCGCCTCCTCACGCCGACGGCACGGGGTCGGCGAGCGCGAGCAGGGCCCGCCGCAGCCCGCGCGGCGGCCGCGCCGTCTGCACGGTGCATCCTCTGGCGTAGCCGCTGACCGGCGCCGGCCGGCCGGCGCGGTCGGTGTACGGACCGCACCATATACAGAGGCGTCCGGTCAGGTAGGGCACCGGGCCGCACGGCGCCGACCCGACCCGTTAGCGGCCCCGTCCGCCGGCCTGGCCCCGGAGATGGGGCACTTACGCCGTGACGGCTCGGTCGTTTGTCCGGTGCCGGCCGGCTGTCGGAATCTGACGACTCCGGGGGATGCTCGGCGGACGGAGCGGGACCGGCCCTGCGCCGCCCCGCCGCCGGCGTCGCCTCTCCGGCCACTAGTAGATCCCTTGGCCAGGACAGTGTTCCGTGCCAGCGGTCGCGCAACGCTCGGGACGGCGGTCTAGCCCTATCATTGGTCCGGGCCGCCGGACAGCAGCGCTGACCGCGGCGGCCGCCATGCACAGTACATGGGACATAGCGTAACACGACGGCCCCGGCGCGGCCCTACTTACCCAGCCGGGTAGGCCACCAGGCCCTCCGACGGCGACACGTCGACGGCCGCATTGCTGTTGACCGTAACGCCCAGCACGCGCTCCAGACGGATCTGCGGCGGAGGAGGCGGTCGTCAGAGGAGCGGCATCACCACTCGGCGGGGTCACGTGCGGGGGGCGACAGACCGGCGGTCAGAGGAGCGGCATCACCACTCGGCGGGGTCATGTGCGGGGGTAGGGTAGACCGACGGTCAGAGGAGCGGCATCACCACTCGGCGGGGTCATGGGCAGGGGTAGGGTAGACCGACGGTCAGAGGAGCGGCATCACCACCCGGCGGGGTCATGGGCAGGGGTAGGGTAGACCGACAGTCAGAGGAGCGGCATCATCACTCGGCGGGGTCATGGGCAGGGGTAGGGCAGACCGGTAGTCGGGCCGTCACGATATCACCTGCCGGTGAGTGTGACTGCAGCGACGAGACTGGTGCAATGCCCTAACACCAACATGCAGTAGTTGACTGGGGGGGGGGGGGGGAGTCGGCATCAAAGAGCGCCTAGCGTACATACAGATAGCGTCCAGCGCATACAAAAACTGCTTTTTGGAAACACGCATTCACTTGTCACGCCGACAAAGCCTTCGGCAGATCTGCCGACCAGCTTCCGGTTCACGACCAATCGAACATATCAAACCAGCCTCAGGCATATTTACGGAGCGGTATCTAGAATCCACGTCACCAGGAGACCCCAGGCTTCCGTCAACACGCACACACCGACCCCTACCGGTGCTGGGCGGAGCGAGAGCGAGAGAGCGAGAGACAGAATGACAGAGAGACAGCGAGGGCCGCTGCAGGAGAGGCGCCGACGACGGCCGCCTCGGCGCCGGCTGCCGCGTGCTCCGGCTTCCGTTGCGGCGGGGCGGGCGGCCGGCGTCTGCCGCCTGTCTCGGCCGCCATGTGCCGCCGCGATGGCGACACGGCGCGTCTCCGGCGACAGCCGCGGCCCGCCCCTGCTTCGCAGATGGCACCTCGACGGCCGCGTCGTCGCGCCGGACTGGCCGGCGCCTCGGCCGTGGCTGCCCCACGATGGCTGGAGCTCTGTAGCCGTGCGAAACGACCTTGGCCCACAACGCCAACGCCAAAGCTTCGCCAAAAACAACTCAACGGCGGAAACTACTACGTATGCGAGGAGATCTGCTGTTCGGCTCGATCCGGTGTTGTCGCCCGCCTTGGACAGCGTTCGGCGGCGCCCCGCTCCTGTCGGTACGCCTGGCCGGACGCCATAGCGTGTCGGCCGGCCATTGCCGAGGGCAGCGTGCTGCGTCAACGTACGGTAAGCGGGTCGCGTCACCCTGCTCGGATTTATCGCCGCCAGCGCCGGCAGTCGGGCCGCCCCAATCAGCAGATCGTGCCGGCCGTGGGACGGCCGGTGAACACAGTGTGTCGGCCGTCACGGGCCTCGGCCGCCGCCGGCCGAGCACAAGGTCCGGTCACGTGGTCACGTGGTCCGGTCCAGGATCACGTGGTCTGTCTCGCCGATCGCAGGGCGGATCGCTGTCACTGAATTCTGTACGGACCTCGTCTCGTCCGCGTTGTGCTGCGTGGCTTTTCACGAGCCCGCGTCGCACGTTTGGTCAGCGTGTGGATGGCCCGGTGCTTCATACAATACGCCTGGGAGGTCTCAAATAGAGAGGAGGTCTCACGCTCCTCTCCACCAGACGTGGCCGGTGCTCTCTGTCACCCCAGCGACAGGACCCGGGTCACGCTCCTCTCCATCAGACGTGGCCGGTGCTCTCTGTCACCCCAGCGACAGGAGCCGGGTCACGCTCCTCTCCATCAGACGTGGCCGGTGCTCTCTGTCAACCAAGCGACAGGACCCGGGTAACGCTCCTCTCCACCAGACGTGGCCGCGTCTAGGTCAAGTTGGTTCCCCGAAAGCCAGCGAGCCGCCCCGGCCGCCGCCGCCGCCGCTTGCATCAAGGCCGGCCGGCAGGACAGCCGAGCGAGGTCGGACCCGCCGCCAGGTCACCACTCCGGCCCTAACCGACCCGTCACCAAAAACCGGTTCTGCACATTGGCAAGGTGCTTACCCGAGGCGATTACATATGACGTCATCAGTGGTCACGTTACACACTGACGACTGACGACTGAAGGCGCAGGAACTTTCGTGACGCTTAGTCGTGATGTCACGGGTGTTACCGCGGGAGCGGCGTCCCAGCATGCACAGTGGACCCCAGGGGTCGAACACAGCGGCCCCCGCCGGCGGGCCGGGCTGTGACGCGCCCGAGAGTGCACCGACAGCCGCCTGACCAGGCTCGGTGCCCGCGGGGCTCGCCCATCGACACCACGGTGGCCAGGTGTCCCGCCGGCCGGCACCCGATCCGCGACGCCCGCCGCCTCCGCCGGCCGGGCCGCGAAGCGTGCCTGAGCGCCGCCAGCCGGGATGGAGGCCGGCCAAGGTCGCCCAAGGTCAGCAGGGGGTCGCTGCATGCGGGTCGGCGGCGATTAGCGTCGGAACACTTTCACGGGGCCAGACAATGCCGTGGTGCAAGCGATCGGCCGCCTGACGTGAATCCGTAATCGGGTCGGGGCGCGGCGGACGCGCCCGCGGCGCTGACCTCACGACGGTGCTGCCGCCTGGTGACCGTCAGCCGAGGCAGGCCGTGACCGGGGCTGGCTGGCTCCGGCGGCCGGCGCCGGAGACTGCGACGGTGCAGCGCGGACGGTAGCACGAGCGGCTAACACCCAGACGGGGTCTCCGGCCGCGGCGGCACCGTCCAGCCGGCCACTGCGGCCCGCAAGTGGGCTGTCCCCCGGCTGACGAGTTGTCTCCGGGGCTCGCGAGCCAGCTGACGGGCTCACGAGTCAGCTGACTGGGCTTACGAGTCAGCCGACTTGACCCACAAGTCAGCTGACTGGGCTCACAAGTCAGATGACTGGGCTCACAAGTCAGCTGACTGGGCTCACGAGTCAGATGACTGAGCTCACGAGTCAGCTGACTGGGCTCACGAGTCAGCTGATCGGCCTCGGGGGTTTGCCGCCCAGGATCGCTCATCAGCTATTCCTGCTCTTAAGGCGGCGCATTAGACTCATGAACCGGGTCAATGAAATCATGAGCCTGCTCAATGGGCTCAAGAGTCGGTCGACCGGATCATGAGTCACCTCAGTGGGAACGAGTCTGACTCATGTCAGCTGTTCTCGACTGGGCTGCCCGGTCCCGGAGTCATCGGGCGGGCCGCAGGCCGCAGCCTCTGCAGGACGTCCAAGGACGGAGGACCACGCAACGAGACGGAGTGACGCAACGGGGGCTTGCAAAGTGAAACTGGTCACGGGATGGCCATCGGTGTGATTGAGCACGCGTGCCTTCGCCATGACCCCGCGGTACAAGGTAAGATTCAGTGAAGGGCGGAGAATTAGTTCACACATATTTACAGGTCGATTTACGGCGCAAGTGAGTGGGCCAACGATGATTCGTCATGCTACGTGCGATGATTCCTTCAGCCAGGATGCCACGCAGGAAACCGGGCATAAAACACCACCGCCGCATGCAACGACCCAATGCGAATCTGGCCGTCATGTTACAGAACTTATCCTCGGTTCAAGTGCGACGAACAAAGTCCATCAAAACCCAGCCGGCCCGCGGCCGTGCTTAAAAACTCGCCTTGCAGCAGAGCCGGAGCGGCTCAGCTGGACTGAGCGGCGGTCCTGCAGCGGCGCGTCACCTCACGATCCGGGCCCTCTGCCTCCCACCGCCTCCCACCTCCGGCCTCCCACCTCCGGCCTCCCACCTCCGGCCTCACACCTCCGGCCTCACACCTCCGGCCTCCCGCGCTCCGCCTCCCACCGCCTCCCGCCGACCGTCCGGCTGCCGGCGGCCGGCCGGACCGGCGGTGACCGGCCGGGGTGAGCGGCCGACCCGGGCCGACCCCGACAGCTGGCTCGGCCAGCGCTGACCGCGGCAGCACAAAACACGGCGCCCCGGGCGGTCGTCGCCGCCGCCGTCGCGGACGCGCCGGCGACCGGGCCGCGGCCCCGGCGCTGCCGCAGGCGCGGCGCCAGCAGTCAGCTGCCGGCCGAGAGCTCCCATCACCGGTGCCTGGGGCTCTCGTCTGAGAGAATTACTCACAACTAGACGATAATGTTGAGAAATACTCGGGTCTGTGCAGCCTACATGCACAGAAAGCTTCACCGTGGCACTCCCCGCATCTGGACAGACGTCCAGAGCCGGAACTGAAGCTGAGGGCAGGGACGGGTCAGGGCCGGGTGGGCGGAGAACGCCGCGGCGCACCCCCGCGAGCGAGTCACCCGGCCGAGCGCCGCTCCCTCGCCACCACACGGCACGGTGTCACAGCCCCGCCGCTCCCCCGCCTGGACACGGCACGGCCGGGCACGTGAGGACGCGTCGGGTCGAGCACGCCGCCGGGACGTGCCGCGCCGAGCACGCCACCGCCGGGGCCGGCGCCACGGCAAGGCCGGCGACGGAGCGACCGAGTCCGCTGCTTGAAAGGGAAGGAAAATACAGCTCGAACATAAAGCGCGGAGGTAGACACGCCATAATTATGTGCCAATCAATCGTGGGAACGCGGACTGGAGCAAGAGGCGGCTCCCGACACTTCAAATGGAGCATGGGATGGCATGCGCGGCATGCCTTTCATGCCACTGCTATCTCGAGCAGGCCGCAGAGATTCCGTGCCGCAACCACAGACGGCCATTTCGACAGCCCTTGTGTAACCCTGCCATGCCGCACAGAACAATCAAACCTGGGAGCGATCAGGATATTTGCAGAGCTTTAACCAGCAGCCATAGCCGCATGGTGAGCCAAGGTCAATGCAAATCAAGACCGTAAAAGTGATGGACATCGTTCGTTTGCAAGGCATTGTAAACACTAACTGCAACACTAACGTGGGCTCGCGGAACAATGTATCTCATCTTTATGCAAGGCTGAAAATCCGTAAAACATATTTACAAGACTATGCCGTTTAATACCGGAAGGCACATGCAAAAGCCAAGCGACATCAAACACAAGGAGCCGCAAAGCCACGTCCGTCTCCCTGACCTCCGTCTCGAACCAGCCTGTCGCCCCTATCGTCAGTCTCTGACGGAGCCACGCCGAGCAGCGT